GGTTCATGGGGGGAATTTGGGGTCTGGGGGGGCGATTTGGGGTCTTGGGGGGAATTTGGGGGGGTTATGGGGGATTTTGGGGGGTTTGGGGGCTGTAATTAATTCGGTTCCGGGTTCTATAATTAATTGGGGGCAGGTTTGGGGGTCCGGGCCGGTTTTTGGGGGGGGGTCTCAGGGCTGTGCCCCCCCAGGGCTGGGGGTGTGTAATTAATTTGGGGTCCGGGGCTGTAATTAATTCGGGGTCCGGGTGCTGTAATTAATTGGGGGTTCCGGGTTCTATAATTAATTGGGGGCAGGTTTGGGGGTCCGGCCCGGTTTTTGGGGGGGGTCTCAGGGCTGTGCCCCCCCCAGGACTGGGGGAGCTGCCGGCCCGGCTGGAGGAGGGGCGGGGGGCCGGGGACCCCCCCGGGGACCCCCCCGGATTTGGGGACCCCCTGTGGGACCCCCCCGGGATTGGGGACCCCCTGTGGGACCCCCCCGGATTTGGGGACCCCCTCTGGGACCCCCCCGGATTTGGGGACCCCCTGTGGGACCCCCCCGGATTTGGGGACCCCCCCGGATTTGGGGACCCCCCCGGGGACCCCCCCGGATTTGGGGACCCCCCCGGGGACCCCCCCGGGTTTGGGGACCCCCTGTGGGACCCCCCCGGATTTGGGGACCCCCCCGGATTTGGGGACCCCCCGTGGGAGCAGCTGCGGCGTCTGGAGCTGCTCGTGAGCCGGAGGGGCCCGGGGGCGGTGAGAGCCAAACTGGGAGCACTGGGAGGGACTGGGGGGGACTGGGGGGGACTGGGAGCACAAACTGGGAGTACTGGGAGGGACTGGGAGGGACTGGGAGCACTGGGAGGAACTCACTGGGAGCACTGGGAGCACCAACTGGGAGTACTGGGAGGAACTGGGAGTACTGGGATGGAGCAACTGGGAGTACTGGAAGCACTGGGAGGGACTAACTGGGAGGGACTGGGAGGAACTGGGAGTACTGGGAGGGAGCAACTGGGAGCACTGGGAGGGACTGGGAGTACTGGGAGCACAAACTGGGAGTACTGGAAGGGAGCAACTGGGAGAAATGGGAGCACTGGGAGCTACTGGGAGGGAGCAACTGGGAGCACAAACTGGGAGGGACTGGGAGGGACTGTGAGTACTGGGAGCACTGGGAGGAACTCACTGGGAGCACTGGGAGCACAAACTGGGAGTACTGGGAGCACTGGGAGTACTGGGAGCACTGGGAGGAACTAACTGGGAGTACTGGGAGCACTGGGAGCACAAACTGGGAGCACTGGGAGGGACTGGGAGCACTGGGAGGAACTGGGGGGAACTGGGAGCACAAACTGGGAGTACTGGGAGCACAAACTGGGAGCACTGGGAGGAACTGGGAGGAACTGGGAGTACTGGGAGGGACTAACTGGGAGTACTGGGAGCACCAACTGGGAGTATTGGGAGGAACTAACTGGGAGGTACTGGGAGCACTGGGAGCACTAACTGGGAGCACTGGGAGGGACTGGGAGCACTGGGAGGAACTGGGAGTACTGAGAGCACAAACTGGGAGCACTGGGAGGGACTGGGAGGGGAGGTTGGGGGGTTTTGGGGGAACAATTTTGGGTTCATGGGGAGAATTTGGGGTTATTGGAGAGAATTTGGGGGTTCATTGCTGAAAATTTGGGGTTTTATGGGGAGAATTTGGGGGAGAATTGGGGGAAATTTGGGGGTTCACGGGGAAAATTTGGGGGTTAATTTGGGAAAAATTTGGGGTTTTATGGGGAGAAATTGAGGGTTAGTTGGGGGAGAATTTGGGGTTAATTGGGGAAAATTTGGGGGTTCACTGGGTGAAATTTGGGGGTTCATTGAGGGAAATTTGGGGGATCATTGGGGGAAATTTGGGGTTAATTGGGGGAGAATTTGGGGGTTCACAGGGAAAAATTTGGGGGTTCACTGGGTGAAATTGGGGGTTCACTGGGTGAAATTTGGGGGTTCATTGAGGGAAATTTGGGGGTTCATTGAGGGAAATTTGGGATTAATTAGGGGAGAATTTGGGGTTAATTGAGTGAAATTTGGGGTTAATTGGGGAGAATTTGGGGGTTAATTGGGAGAGAATTTGGGGGTTCATTGAGGGAAATTTGGGGGTTCATTGAGGGAAATTTGGGGTTAATTGAGGTAAATTTGGGGATTAATTGAGTGAAATTTGGGGGATCATTGGGGGAGAATTTGGGGGTTCATTGAGGGAAATTTGGGGGTTCATTGGGGGAAATTTGGGGTTAATTGAGGGGAATTTGGGGGTTCACTGGGTGAAATTTGGGGGTTCATTGGGGGAAATTTGGGGGTTCATTGAGGGAGAATTTGGGGGTTCATTGAGGGAAATTTGGGGTTCAGTGAGGGAAATTTGGGGATTAATTGAGGGGAATTTGGGGGATCATTGGGTGAAATTTGGGGGTTCATTGAGGGAAATTTGGGGGTTCAATGGGGGAAATTTGGGGGATCATTGGGGGAGAATTGGGGTTAATTAGGGGAGAATTTGGGGGTTGAGTGAAATTTGGGGGTTCAATGAGGGAAATTTGGGGTTAATTGAGTGAAATTTGGGGTTAATTCGGGGAGAATTTGGGGGTTCATTGGGGGAGAATTTGGGGGTTCACTGGGTGAAATTTGGGGGTTCATTGAGGGAAATTTGGGGTTCACTGGGTGAAATTTGGGGGATCGTTGGGGGAGAATTTGGGGGTTCATTGAGGGAAATTTGGGGTTAATTGGGGGAGAATTTGGGGACTCATTGGGGGAAAATTTGGGGATTCACGGGGAGAATTTGGGGGTTCCTTGCTGAAAATTTTGGGGGTTTCTTGGGGAAAAATTTGGGGTTTTATGGGGAGAATTTGGGGGTTCATTTGGGAAAAAATTGGGGTTCATTGGGGAAAATTTGGGGTTCATTGGGGGTTTATTGGGAGTTTATGGGGAGAATTTGGGGGTTCATGGGGAGAATTTGGGGTTATTGGGGGAGAATTTGGGGGTTCATTGGTGAAATTTGGGGTTTCATTGGGTGAAATTTGGGGTTAATTGGGGGAAATTTGGGGGTTCACTGGGTGAAATTTGGGGGTTCATTGAGGGAAATTTGGGGATCATTGGGGGAGAATTTGGGGGTTCACTGGGTGAAATTTGGGGTTAATTGGGGGAGAATTTGGGGTCCCCCCTCAGGTTTGGGGTCCCCCCCCCTTTTTTCGGGTCCCCCCCAATTTTGGGGTCCCCCCCCCCAATTTTGGGTCCCCCCCAATTTTGGGGTCCCCCCAGGTCCCGGCAGGGTCGGAGCCCCTCCGCAGCCGCCCCCCCCCCCCGCGCCCCCCCAGCCCCAGGTGAGCCCCCCGGGACCCCCAACCCCACCCTGGCAGTGAGGGGGGGCTCCCCACCCCCCCAGGGGTGACAGCAGCACCCAAGGGTGCCCCCACAGCCCCTCCCCCACCCCCCAGGGAGGAGGAGGAGGAGGAAGAGGAGAGACCCCTGAGCCCCCGCGAGCTGCGGGAGAGGGTCCTGAGAGAGGTGGGGGTCCTGGCACCCATGGGTGGGGGTCCTGGCACCCATGGGTGGGGGTCCTGAGAGAGGTGGGGGGCACTGGCACCCATGGGTGGGGGTCCTGAGAGAGGTGGGGGGCACTGGCACCCATGGGTGGGGGTCCTGAGAGAGGTGGGGGGCACTGGCACCCATGGGTGGGGGTCCTGGGACATGGGTGGGGGTCCTGAGAGAGGTGGGGGGCACTGGCGCCCATGGGTGGGGGTCCTGAGAGAGGTGGGGGGCACTGGCACCCATGGGTGGGGGTCCTGAGAGAGGTGGGGGGCACTGGCACCCATGGGTGGGGGTCCTGAGAGAGGTGGGGGCACTGGCACCCATGGGTGGGGGTCCTGAGAGAGGTGGGGGGCACTGGCACCCATGGGTGGGGGTCCTGAGAGAGGTGGGGGGCACTGGCACCCATGGGTGGGGGTCCTGAGAGAGGTGGGGGCACTGGCACCCATGGGTGGGGGTCCTGAGAGAGGTGGGGGGCACTGGCACCCATGGGTGGGGGTCCTGAGAGAGGTGGGGGGCACTGGCAACCATGGGTGGGGGTCCTGGGACATGGGTGGGGGTCCTGAGAGAGGTGGGGGGCACGGGGGGGGGGGGGCTGGCACCCATGGGTGGGGGTCCTGGCAACCGTGGGGGGGTCCTGGGATGTGGGTGGGTGTCCCAGGGCCATGGGTGGGGGTCCAAAATCTATGGGTGGGGTCCCAGCCCTATGGGTGGGGGTCCCGGTGCCATGGGTGGGGTCCCAGCCCTATGGGTGGGGGTCCCGGTGCCATGGGTGCCCCCCTGAGCCCCCTCCTCCCACAGGTGCTGAGCCGCGAGGGACCCCTCCCCACCCCCCCCCCCGCTGAATTTGGGGGGTCCCCGCGCCCCCCCCGCGCCCTGAGCCCCTCCCCCACCCGCTCCTACCCCCCCCACCCCGTTCCCATGGCAACCACGGCAATATTTGGGGCGGCCGCGGTCGCGTTCCCCCGGTAACGGCCCAAAACTTCCCAAAACAGCCCAAAACGGCCCAAAACCGAGCGGGGGGAGGGGCGGGGGCGCCGCCCTTTGTCCCTCGTGTCACCCCCTCCCCTCCCCCACCCACACACGTGGGTGCCCCTCCCCCCCTTTTGGGGACCCCCCCCCCCCAGTTCGTGGGGATGCTGTGACGTCATTCCGGGACCCCCTGACGTCACTCCCCGCTGGCCACGCCCCGCTGGGCACCGCCCGGCGGAGAGACCCGAACGCGCCCGAAGGGTCCGAACCGGGAGGGGCCGAACCGCTCCGGAAACAGCCGAACTTGGACTCGAAGCGGGACCCGAACACTCCCGGAGAGACCCGAACCCCACCGGGGGGGCCCGAACGTGCACCCGAAGCTGTTCGGAAGGTCCCGAACTTGCCTGAGGGGACTCGGACCCGCCTGAGGGAACCGGAACCCGCCTGAGGGAGCCCAACCGGGAGGAGCCGAACCGCTCCGGAGAGACTGAACGGTCCCGAACCCGCTCCGGAGAGACCGAACGGTCCCGAACCCGCCTGAGGAAACTGAACCGGGAGGAGCCGAACCGCTCCGGACAGACCGAACTGTCCCGAACCCGCCTGAGGGAACCCGAACCCGCCTGAGGGAACCGAACCGGGAGGAGGGACCGAACCGCTCCGGAGAGACCCGAACCGTCCCGAACCACCCGAACCGGGAGGAGTCCAACCGCTCCGGACAGACCGAACCGTCCCGAGCCCGCTCCGGAGAGACCGAACGGTCCCGAACCCGCCTGAGGGAACCCGAAGCGGGAGGAGCCGAACCGCTCCGGACAGACCCGAACCGTCCCGAACCCGCCTGAGGGAACCGAACCGGGAGGAGCCGAACCGCTCCGGACAGACCTAACCGTCCCGAACCGTCCCCGTCCCGCGCCAAGGGACCGGAACCCGCCCGGAGGGGACCCGAACCGGGACCCGAACCGGGACCGTCCCGTCCGTAAGGACCCGAACCGAACCCCCCAAAAACTCCTCCGGAACAGCCAAAACCCACTCGGGTGAGTGCCCCGGACCCTCGGGGTCTCCCCTGCCCCTCGGGGGTCTCCCCCACCCCTCGGGGGTCTCCTCCGCCCCTCGGGGGTCTCCCCCTCCCCTCGGGGGTCTCCTCGACCCCTCGGGGGTCTCCCCCGGAACTTTGGGGTCTCCTCCGCCCCTCGGGGGTCTCCTCCGTCCCTCGGGGGTCTCCTCTATCCCTCGGGGGTCTTCCCCGGAACTTTGGGGTCTCCTCCGCCCCTCGGGGGTCTCCTCCACCCCTCGGGGGTCTTTTCTGCCCCTCGGGGGTCTCCCCCAGAACTTTGGGGTCTCCTCTATCCCTCGGGGGTCTCCTCTGCCCCTCGGGGGTCTCCTCCGCCCCTCAGGGGTCTCCTCCTCCCCTCAGGGGTCTCCTCTGCCCCTCGGGGGTCTCCTGCTCCCCTCGGGGGTCTCCTCCACCCCTCGGGGGTCTCCCCCGGAACTTTGGGGTCTCCCCCTCATCCTTGGGGGTCTCCCCCGGCCCTCGGGACCCCCGCCCATCACCCACAGGATGCAGCCAGCGCCCGGCTGGGGCGGGGCGACCCCAGGATGGGGCGGGGGGGGAGGAAGGAGAATTCTCCGAGACCTTTTATGGGCACAGCCCTGACCGCCCCCACCCCCGGGACCCCCGGGATCCCCCCAGTGCAGGGTCCTTCACTCCTTAAAAATTTACCCACAACCCCATTACAAATAAATTTAAAAAAAAAAAAAAAAACCCAAAAATATTTTTAAATTCACTACCAGTCCCCATGAAAAAATAAATCACAAAAAGATAAAAAAACCCAAAAATGTTTTAAAATTTCCCCCAAACCCCATTTAAAAATAAATTATCAAAAAAAACCCACACAAAAAAATTTAAAAATTTACCCCCACCCCATTAAAAAATAAAGGAAAAAAAACCCCAAAACCCAAAAGAAAAAAATTTTAAAATTTAGCCCCAAGCCCATTAAAAAATAAATCACAAAAAGAAAAAAAACCCCAAAAATTATTTAAAATTCACCTCCAAGCCCATTAAAAAATAAGTTACAAAAAAAACCCCACACGAAAAAATTTAATAATTTAGCCCCAACTTTATTAAAAAATAAATTACAAAAAGAAAAACAAACCAAAAATATTTTAGAATTCACCCCCAACCCCATTAAAAAATAAATTACAAAAAGAAAAAAAAAAATTAAAATTTACCCCCAACCCCATTAACCCCCACTATCCCTGCTACCCCCCAGCCTCAATACCCCCAACCCCCCATATCCCCCAATACCCACCCAGCACCCCAAAACCCAAATACCCAATGCCCCAAAACCCAAATACCCAATACCCAAATACCCAATACCCCAATACCCAAATACCCCCCAATACCCACCCCAAACCCCCCCAATACCCACCCCAAAACCCCCCAATACTCACCCAGCACCTCGATACCCAAATACCCAATACCCCAATACCCAATACCCCAATACCCAATACCCACCCAGCACCCCAAAACCCCCCAATACCCATTCAGAACTCTAATACTGCAATACCCAATACCCAAATACCCCCCAATACCCACTCCAAAACCCCCCAATACCCACCCAGCACCCCAATTCCCAAATACTGCCCACTACCCACCCCAAACCCCCCCAATGCCCAAACACCCAATACCCCAATACCCAAATACCCAATACCCCAATACCCAAAACCCCCCAATACCCAATACCCCAATACCCCAATGCCCAAATACCCAATACCCCAATACCCAAACCCCCCCCAATACCCAAATACCCAATACCCCAATACACAAATACTGCCCAATACCCACCCCAAAACCCCCCAATACCCAAATACCCAATACCCCAATACCCAAATACCCACCCCAAAATCCCCACAATACCCCAATACCCACCCAGCACCCCAATACCCAAATACCAAATACCCAATACCCAATACCCCAATACCCAAATACCCAATATCCAAATACCCAATACCCAAATACCCCAAACCCCCCCAATACCCAAATACCCCCCAATACCCACCCCAAAACCTCCCAATACCCAAATACCCAAATACCCAATACCCAAATACCCAAATGCCCAATACCCAAATACCGCCCAATATCCACTCCAAAACCCCCCAATACCCACCCAGCACCCCAATACCCCAATACCCAAATACCCAATACCCCAATACCCAAATACCCAATACCCACCCCAAACCCCCCCCAATACCCCAATACCCAAATACCCAAATACCCAATGCTCAAATACCCAAATACCCAATATCCCAATACCCAAATACTGCCCAATACCCCCCCCAAAACCCCCCCAATACCCCAATACCCAATACCCCAACACCCAAACCCCCCCAAAACCCCCCGAGACCCCCCCAAAAGCCCTGACCCCTCTCTCCGCAGCCCCGGGATGCCCGCTCCGTGCCGCCCCCCGTCCCTCCTGCGCTGCATCCAGGCCCTCAGCGCCCTCCTGGCGCTGGCGCTGGCCGCAGCCCCCGGCTACTGGCTGGCGGGCGAGGGCGACGGCTGCTTGTCCGCCTGGGCCTTGTCCTTCGTCTTCACCCTCCTCCTCCTCCTCCACGACGCCTTCCGCCGCCCGCCGCCCCGCCGCGACCTGCCGCTGGCGCTGGCCGCCGCCGCCGCCATGGCGTGCGCCACCGCCACCGTCCTGTGGCCGCTGGGCCACCTCCGGGGACACGAGGGCGGCCAAGGTCGCCCCCGCGCCCTCCGCGCCACCGCCACCGCCGCCTCGGCCGTGGCCACGCTGGCCTACGCCGCCGAGGTCACCCGCGACCGGGCGCGACCCGGCGAGGCCGCGCCGTACCTGGCGACGCCGTCCGGGCTGCTGAAGGTGGTCGAGGCCTTCCTCGCCCTCCTCCTCCTCGGGCTGTCGGCCGAGCTGGGCGCGGCGTCGGGGCCGGCGGCCCTGCGTTGGTGCCTGGGCATCTTCTGCGTGTCCTTCGTGCTGGGCGTGCTGCTGGTCGGGGGGTGCCTGCTGGGCTGGGGGTGGTGCGGCTGGATGCGGGACCCCGAGGGGATGCGCTGGGGGTTGGGGGTCTACGCGGGGCTGGGGGTGGTGGCCTATGGGGCGGCCACGGTGCTGTGGGCGCTCTACAGCTTCTCGGAGGACATGGGGGGCCAAGCGCGGAGACCCTACGGCTGCCCCGCCACCTGCGCCTGGGACAGGAGGGTGCTGGTGGCCGTGCTCAGCGGGCTCAACTTGGTGGCGTTCGGGGTGGATTTGGGGCAGACGGGGAGGTTGGTGCTGTTGAGGGCTTGAGGGGGGTCTCCAGGGGGTGTAAGGGGGGGGTACTGGGGGGTGTCAGAACCGTAACGGGGGTCTGGGGTCTCCCACAGGTTGGGATCAGGGCCTGTGTGGGGGTCTGGGTTGATTGATGGGGTGGGAACAGGCTCCCTAAGGATCCTTCTTGGGGGAGGTTTGGAGCCCTAAGAGGGACTTGGGGGGGAGGTTGGGGTCTGGGGGTCACCCCGGGGTGGGATCCGGCCTCTCTGGGGGTCTGGGGGTCACCCCAGGGTGGGATCCAGCCTGTCTGGGGGTCACCTCAGGGTGGGATCTGACCTCTCTGAGGGTCTGGGGTCACCCCAGGGTGGGATCCGGCCTCTCTGAGGGTCTGGGGGTCACCCCAGGGTGGGATCCAGCCTTTCTGGTGGTCTGGGGGTCACCTCAGGGTGGGATCCGGCCTCTCTGAGGGTCTGGGGTCACCCCAGGGTGGGATCAGGTTCCTAATGGGAGCCCTAGACCCTCTATAGGGCAGGACTGAGCCCCTAAGGGTGGTCTGGGGGTCACCCCGGGGTGGGATTGGGATGCTCATGGGGGTCTGGGGGTCACCCCAGGGTGGGATCAGGTTCCTAATGGGAGCTCTAGACCCACTATAGGGCAGGACTGAGCCCCTCATGGTGGTCTGGGGGTCACCCCAGGGTGGGATCCAGACTCTCTGGGGGTCTGGGGGTCACCCCAGGGTGGGATTGGGATGCTCATGGGGGTCTGGGGTCACCCCAGGGTGGGATCAGGATGCTCATGGGGGTCTGGGGGTCTCCCCAGGGTGGGATCGGGATGTTCATGGGGGTCTGGGGTCTCCGTGTGGGGTGAGATGAGGCCCCCCATGGGAGCCCTGGATCCTTTTTGGGGCAGTTCTGGCCCTTATCAGGGTCCCCTCGGGGGAGATAACGGGACCCCAGTGGGGGTCCTGGTTCCTCTGTGGGGTGGGATCAGCCCCTGACAGGGGTCTGGGGTGCCCACCAGGGTGGGATCGGGTGCCTAAATGGGTTCTGGATCCTCTTTGGGGCAGGATCTGGTGATTTTGGGGGTCTGGGATCAAGTGCCTGGAGGGAAATTGGGATTGTAAGGGGGTCTTGGGGAGGGGGACACCGCTGAGGCCTTAATTTGAGGTTGAAAATGTCATTAAAGAGATATTTCTGCTTCTTAATGAGCTGCTGAGTGTCTGTGATGGGGTGTGAGGAGAGCAAAAGTGAGGGAAAAGTGTGGGAAATGTGAGGGGGAAAATGATGGGCGACATGAGGGGGGAAAGGGTAAGAAATGTGAGGGGAAAAGGGGAGGGATGGGGAAAAGAGGAGAAAATGGGGAAAAAACGTGTGTGGGGAGTCTGAGGGGGAAAAGAGAGGGAAAAAGGCAGGAAGTGTGAGAGGAAAAAGGGCAGAAAATGTGAGGGGGAAAGGGTGGGGAATGTGAGGGGAAAATGGAGGGAAATGTGAGGGGAGAAAAGGGCGGGAAATATGAGGGGGAAAGAGTGGGAAACGTGGGGGGGGGGGGGAAAGGGAAGAAAATATGAGGGGAAAAAAGCCAGGAAATATGAAGGGAAAATGAAGGAAGTGTGAGAGAGAAAAGGGCAGAAAATGTGAGGGGAAAAGGGAGGGAAACGTGAGGGAAAAAAGGGAGGGAAACGTGAGGGGAAAACGGAGGGGAACGTGAGGGGAAAACGGAGGGGAACGTGAGGGGGAAAATGATGGGCAACATGAGGGGGAAAAGGGTAAGAAATTTGAGGGGAAAAGGGGAGGGATGGGGAAAAGAGGAGAAAACGGGGAAAAAACGTGAGGGGGAAAGTGTGGGAAGTCTGAGGGGGGAAAGAGTGAGAAAAGAGGAAAAAAGCAGGATGTGTGAGAGGAAAAGGCAGAAAATGTGAGGGGGAAAGGGCGGGAAACGTGAGGGGAGAAAAGGGCGGGAACTGTGACGGGGGGAAAAAGGGCGGGAAACGTGAGGGGGGAAAAGGGCGGGAAACGTGAGGGGAGAAAAGGGCGGGAAATGTGAGGGGAGAAAAGGGCGGGAAATGTGAGGGGAGAAAAGGGCGGGAAATGTGAGGGGAGAAAAAGGCGGGAAACGTGAGGGGAGAAAAGGGCGGGAAACATGAGGAGAGGAAAGGGAGGGAAAGGTGAGGGGAGAAAAGGGCGGGAAACGTGAGGGGGGGAAATGGTCTGAAACATGAGGAGACAAAAGGGAGGGAAAGGTGAGGGGGGAAAATGGTAAGAAACGTGAGGGGGGAAAGGGTGGGAAACATGAGGGGGGGAAATGGTCTGAAACATGAGGAGACGAAAGGGAGGGAAAGGTGAGGAGAGAAAATGGTGAGAAATGTGAGGGGGGGGGAAGGGCATGAGGGAAGAATTGATGGGAAATGTGAGGGGAAAAAGGGTGGGAAATGTGAGGGGGGGAAAAGGGCGAGAAACGTGAGGGGGGAAAGGGAGGGAAAGGTGAGGGGAGAAAATGGTGAGAAATGTGAGGGGGGGAAAGGGCGGGAAATGTGAGGGGGGAAAGGGCGGGAAACGTGAGGGGAGAAAATGGTGAGAAACGTGGTGGTGGGGGGAAAAGGGCATGAGGGAAGAATTGATGGGAAATGTGAGGGGGAAAAGGGTGGGAAATGTGAGGGGGAAATGGTGGGAAACGTGAGGGGTAAAAGGGCGGGAAATGTGAGGGGAGAAAAAGGGAGGGAAAGGTGAGGGGAGAAAATGGTGAGAAACGTGAGGGGGGGGAAAGGGTGGGAAATGTGAGGGGAGAAAAAGGGCGGGAAACGTGAGGGGGGGAAATGGTCTGAAAGATGAGGAGAGGAAAGGGAGGGAAAGGTGAGGGGAGAAAATGGTGAGAAACATGAGGGGGAAAATGGTGGGAAATGTGAGGGGAGAAAATGGTGGGAAATGTGAGGGGAAAAATGGTGGGAAATGTGAGGGGGGAAAAGGGCAGAAAATGTGAGGGGGAAAAGAAAAAGAAATGTGAGGAGAATAGGGCGGGAAACGTGAGGGGAGAAAAGGGCGGGAAACGTGAGGGGGGAAAAGGGCGGGAAACGTGAGGGGGGGAAATGGATGGCAAACTTGAGGAGAAGAAAGGGAGGGAAAGGTGAGGGGAGAAAATGGTGAGAAACGTGAGGGGGGGAAGGGCATGAGGGAAGAATTGATGGGAAATGTGAGGGGAAAAAAGGTGGGAAACGTGAGGGGAAAAAAGAGCGGGAAACGTGAGGGGGGAAATGGGCGGGAAACGTGAGGGGAGAAAAAGGGCGGGAAACGTGAGGGGGGGAAAGGGCGGGAAACGTGAGGGGAGAAAAAGGGCGGGAAACGTGAGGGGAGAAAAAGAGAGGGAAACGTGAGGGGGGGAAAGGGTGGGAAATGTGAGGGGGGGAAAAGGGCGTGAGGGAAGAATTGGTGGGAAATGTGAGGGGAAAAAAAGGTGGGAAATGTGAGGGGGGAAAAAGGGCCCAAAATGTGAGAGGAGAAAAGAAGGGGAAATATGAAGGGAAAAGGGTGGGAAATGTGATGGGGGCAAAAAAAAAAAAGGAAATGTGAGGGGGAAAATGGGAAATGAGAGGGGGAAAATGGTGGGAAATGTGAGGGGGAAAAGGGGAAGAAATGTGAGGGGAAAAGGGCAGGAAAGGTGAAGGGAGGAAGGGTGAGAAATGTGAGGGGGAAAGTGGTGGGAAATTTGAGGGGGGAAAAGGAAACGTGAGGGGAAAAGAGTGGGAAATGAAAGGGGAAAAATGGTGGGAAATGTGAGGGGGGAAAGGGGAAGAAATGTGAGGGGGAAAGAGTGGAAAATGTGAAGGGAGAAAAGGTGAGAAATGTGAGGGGAGAAAAGTGGGGGAAATATGAGGGGGAAAATGGCAGGAAATGTGATGGGGGTGAAAAAAAGGAAATGTGAGGGGAAAATGATGGGAAATGTGAGGGGGGAAAAGGGAAGAAATGTGAAGGGAAAAGGGCGAGAAACGTGAGGGGAGAAAAAGAGAGGGAAACGTGAGGGGAGAAAATGAAGAGAAACAGGGAAAAAGCAAGAACCACGAGTGGATACAGAGCCAGGAAACACAAAGGGAAGAGAGAAGAAAACACCAAGTGGAAAAGGTGGGAAATGTGCTCCCCGATTCCTCAGGTGCCCCCTCCCCAAAATGAAGCACAGACTCGGGGATTGCTCAGATTTTTTATTTTTTGGGGGCTTTTGTCGCCCACACAATCTTCTTTTCCTCCTCCTGGCTGTGCAGGACGGTGCTGGGCTGGCGGTGGGAAAAATGGGGGTCAGCACCCCAAAATTAGGGGGGGAACCCCTGAAATGTGACCTCAAAATCTGTCCCACCAATTAAACACCCACCCCCTTAAATCCCCCCTAATTAAAGACCTAATTAAACCTCCCGAATTAAAGATAAACCAAATACAGCCTCAAAGATCACCATTAACTCTCCTTAATTAAAGTCCTCCCTAATTAACACCCCTAATTTAATATCTCCATTTAACCCCCCCAATTAAACCCCTCAATTAAAACACCCCAACTAAACCCAAGTAAAAACCTTCGATTTAACCCCCCAAGACCCCTCAATTAATCCCCCTAAATTAATCCCCCCATTTAATCCCCCCAATTAACACACCCCAATTTAACTTCCCAATCAAACCCCCCAATTAAAGCTGCTCTAATTAATCCCCCCCCCAAATTAAGCCCCCCCCTCACCATTTTTCATCACCATCACTGAGGCACTGTGGAGGGAAAGAAACATGTTGAGGAGGCTTCAGTTCCCCCCCAAATATTGGGAACCCCTCCCAAAATACCCCCAAAATTTTGGGGAACCCCCCCAAATCTTGAGGACCTCCCCCAAATTTTGGGGTGCCCCTTCTCCTTTCCATTATTCCTTCACCCAGCACCTCCCCCTTGTACCACAACCCTCGTTCAGGTATCCACAAACTCCCCCAAAAATTTTGGGAACACCTCTCCGATTTTGGGGATCCCCCATATTTTGGGGACCCCCCGATGATTTCGGGGACCCCCTCACCCCGAATCTCGAGCCGACACTCGGTCAGGGCCTCGCCCAGCTCGTTGACGGCCCTGCAGGTGTAGGTGCCACCGTCGAAGGGTCCCGGCTTGCGGATCAGGAGGGTCAGGACCCCCTGGCTGTGCCTGGCCAGGAATTTGGGGTCCTCCCCGATGGCCACCTGGTTCTTCAGCCACACCACCTTGGGCTGGGAGGGGCACACCTGGGCAGGTGAGTCCCAAACGCACCCCAAAAACCACCCAAGGAACCCCAAAAACCACCCAAAGCACCCCAAAAATGCCCCAAGGCAGCCCCAAAAACCACCCAAGGCACCCCAAAAACTCCCAGACCTGGGGATGGGTTCACAGCCCCACTGGGACACCCCAAAATCCCTTCCTCAGGTGAACCCCACACCTGGATCTTCACACTGGGAGGGGAACACCTGGGCAGGTGAGTCCCAAACGCACCCCAAAAACCACCCAAAGCAGCCCAAAAACCACCCAAGGCGCCCCAAAAACCACCCAAAGCACCCCAAAAATGCCCCAAGGCACCCCAAAATCTCCCAGACCTGGGGATGGGTTCACAGCCCCGCTGGGACACCCCAAAATCCCTTCCTCAGGTGAACCCCATACCTGGATCTTCACAGTGGGAGGGGAACACCTGGGCAGGTGAGTCCCAAATGCACCCCAAAAATACCCCAAAACTAACCCAGGACCCCAAAAACCACTCAGGACCCCAGATCTCCACCCAAACCCCCCTAATTTTGGGGTGAGGGGCTGAGGGGCCGTAGGGGTTAATTAGGGGGGTGATTAATTAATTAACTGGGGCCATACTGGGAATCACTGGGATCATACTGGGAATCACTGGGGCCTTACTGGGATGGACTGGGCCATACTGGGGGATACTGGGGCCATACTGTGAGTCACTGGAACCATACTGGGAGTAACTGGGGCCTTACTGGGATGGACTGGGCCAGACTGGGACCATACTGGGGGATACTGGGAGTCACGGGGGCCATACTGGGAATCACTGGGAGTAACTGGGGCCATACTGGGAATCACTGGGGCCATACTGGGAATCACTGGGAGTCACTGGGGCCATACTGGGATCATACAGGGGGATACTGGGGCGATACTGGGAATCACTGGGATACTGGTTCATACTGGGATGGACTGGCCCATACTGGGGGATACTGGGGCCATACTGGGAGTCACTGGAACCATACTGGGAATCACTGGGATCATACTGGGAATCACTGGGGCCTTACTGGGATGGACTGGGCCATACTGGGAGTCACTGGGAATCACTGGGATCATACTGGGAGTTACTGGGGCCATACTGGGAATCACTGGGATCATACTGGGGGACACTGGGGCCATACTGGGAGTAACTGGGGCCGTACTGGTAATCGCTGGGGCCTTACTGGGATGGACTGGGAGTCACTGGGATCATACTGGGACCATACTGGGAGTCACTGGGGCCTTACTGGGACGGACTGGGCCATACTGGGAATCACTGGGGCCTTACTGGGATGGACTGGGCCATACTGGGATCATACTGGGGGACACTGGGGCGATACTGGGTGGATACTGGGGCCATACTGGGAATCACTGGGGGATAGTGGGAGTCATTGGGATCATACTGGGAGTCACTGGGATCATACTGGTACCATACTGGGACTATACTGGGAGTCACTGGGGCCGTACTGGCCCCGCCCATCCCACCTTGGCCCCGCCCCTCCCACTTTGGCCCCGCCCCTCCCGGAAGCAGGAACAGCACGGGGGGGGGGAGGGGCGCCTTTATTGACACGGGCGGGGACGCGGGAACAGCCTCACCTGGGCAGGTGAGCTCAGGTACCCCCAGGTACCCTCAGGTACCCCCTGGCACCCCCCAGGTACCCCCAGGTACCCCTCACCTGGGCAGGTGAGCTCAGGTACCCCTCAGGTACCCCCCAGGTACCCCCTGGCACCCCTCACCTGCGGGCACAGGTGAGTTCAGGTACCCCTCAGGTACCCCCTGGCACCCCTCACCTGGGCAGGTGAGCTCAGGTACCCCTCAGGCACCCCCCAGGTACCCTCAGGTACCCCCTGGCACCCCTCACCTGGGCAGGTGAGCTCAGGTACCCCCAGGTACTCCCTGGCACCCCTCACCTGCGGGCACAGGTGAGCTCAGGTACCCCCTGGCACCCCCCAGGTACCCTCAGGTACCCCTCACCTGGGCAGGTGAGCTCAGGTACCCCTCAGGTACCCCCTGGTACCCCTCACCTGCGGGCACAGGTGAGCACAGGGCGGGGCACGGGATCCCCTGGGGGGCTCCAGGTGGGCACCGGGCACCTGTGCAGGTGAGAGGTGGGCACCTCCAAGGTGTGTCCAGGTGGGCATCAGGCACCTGTGTGGTCTCCAGGTGGGCACCGGGCACCTCTGACATGCCCAGGTGGACATGGGTCATCTCCAAGGTGTGCCCAGGTGAGCAATGGGCATCTCCAGGTGAGCACTGGGCACCTCTGGGGTCTCCAGGTGGGCACCGGGCACATCCTAGGGGGGTTCCAGGTGCACCTCGGTGGGTTCCAGGTGGGCTCCAGGCACCTCCAGGTGGACACCGGTCATGGCCAAGGTGTCCAGGTGAGCATCGGGCACCTCCTCCGAGGTGTCCAGGTGGTGAGAGGGCACCTCTGAGGTCTCCAGGTGGACACTGGGCACCTCCTCCACGGGCTCCAGGTGGACATCGGTCACCTCAGTGGGCTCCAGGTGGATTCTGGGCAGTTCTGAGGTTCCCAGGTGGACATCGGTCATCTCTGTGGGCTCCAGATGGACATCGGTCACCTCTGAGGTCTCCATATGGACATCGGTCATCTCGGTGGGCTCCAAGTGGACATCGGTCACCTCTGAGGTTTCCAGGTGGACATCGGTCACGTCTGAGGTCTCCAGGTGGACACTGCTCATCTCTGCGGGTTCCAGGTGGACATCGGTCACCTCTGAGGTCTCCAGGTGGACATTGGTCATCTCCGTGGGCTCCAGGTGGACATCGGTCATCTTGGTGGGCTCCAGGTGGACACTGGGCAGTTCTGAGGTCTCCAGGTGGACATCGGTCACCTCTGAGGTCCCCAGATGGACATCAGTTATCTGGGTGGGCTCCAGGTGGACATCAGTCACCTCAGTGGTCTCCAGATGGACATCGGTCACCTCAGTGGTCTCCAGGTGGACACTGCTCATCTCTGCGGGTTCCAGGTGGACATCGGTCATCTCTGAGGTCTCCAGGTGGACACTGGTCATCTCTGTGGGCTCCAGGTGGACATTGGTCATCTCCGTGGTCTCCAGGTGGACACTGGGCAGTTCTGAGGTCTCCAGGTGGACATCGGTCACCTCTGAGGTCCCCAGATGGACATCAGTTATCTGGGTGGGCTCCAGGTGGACATCAGTCACCTCAGTGGTCTCCAGATGGACATCGGTCACCTCTGTGGTCTCCAGGTGGACATCGGTCATCTCCATGGGCTCCAGGTGGACACTGGTCACCTCGGTGAGTTCCAGGTGGGCATCGGTCACCTCTGAGGTCTCCAGGTGGACATTGGTCATCTCCGTGGACTCCAGGTGGACACTGGGCAGTTCTGAGGTCTCCAGGTGGACACTGGGCAGTTCTGAGGTTCCGAGGTGGACATTGGTCACCTTGGTGGGCTCCAAGTGGACATCGGTCACTTCTGAGGTCTCCAAATGGACATTGGTCATCTCCGTGGGCTCCAAGTGGACATTGGTCACCTCTGAGGTCCCCAGGTGGACATCGGTCACCTCGGTGGGCTCCAGGTGGACACTGGGCAGTTCTGAGGTCTCCAGATGGACATCGGTCATCTCCGTGGGCTCCAGGTGGACACTGGTCACCTCTGAGGTCTCCAGATGGACACTGGTCACCTCGGTGGGCTCCAAGTGGACATCGGTCACCTCGGTGGGCTCCAGGTGGACATCGGTCATCTCTGAGGTTTCCAGGTGGACATCGGTCACCTCTGAGGTTTCCAGGTGGACATCGGTCACGTCTGAGGTCTCCAGGTGGACATTGGTCATCTCCGTGGGCTCCAAGTGGACACTGGGCAGTTCTGAGGTTCCCAGGTGGACATCGGTCATCTCTGTGGGCTCCAGATGGACATCGGTCACCTCTGAGGTCTCCATATGGACATCGGTCATCTCGGTGGGCTCCAAGTGGACATCGGTCACCTCTGAGGTTTCCAGGTGGACATCGGTCACGTCTGAGGTCTCCAGGTGGACACTGCTCATCTCTGCGGGTTCCAGGTGGACATCGGTCACCTCTGAGGTCTCCAGGTGGACATTGGTCATCTCCGTGGGCTCCAGGTGGACATCGGTCATCTTGGTGGGCTCCAGGTGGACACTGGGCAGTTCTGAGGTCTCCAGGTGGACATCGGTCACCTCTGAGGTCCCCAGATGGACATCAGTTATCTGGGTGGGCTCCAGGTGGACATCAGTCACCTCAGTGGTCTCCAGATGGACATCGGTCACCTCAGTGGTCTCCAGGTGGACACTGCTCATCTCTGCGGGTTCCAGGTGGACATCGGTCATCTCTGAGGTCTCCAGGTGGACACTGGTCATCTCTGTGGGCTCCAGGTGGACATTGGTCATCTCCGTGGTCTCCAGGTGGACACTGGGCAGTTCTGAGGTCTCCAGGTGGACATCGGTCACCTCTGAGGTCCCCAGATGGACATCAGTTATCTGGGTGGGCTCCAGGTGGACATCAGTCACCTCAGTGGTCTCCAGATGGACATCGGTCACCTCTGTGGTCTCCAGGTGGACATCGGTCATCTCCATGGGCTCCAGGTGGACACTGGTCACCTCGGTGGGTTCCAGGTGGGCATCGGTCACCTCTGAGGTCTCCAGGTGGACATTGGTCATCTCCGTGGACTCCAGGTGGACACTGGGCAGTTCTGAGGTCTCCAGGTGGACACTGGGCAGTTCTGAGGTTCCGAGGTGGACATTGGTCACCTTGGTGGGCTCCAAGTGGACATCGGTCACTTCTGAGGTCTCCAAATGGACATTGGTCATCTCCGTGGGCTCCAAGTGGACATTGGTCACCTCTGAGGTCCCCAGGTGGACATCGGTCACCTCGGTGGGCTCCAGGTGGACACTGGGCAGTTCTGAGGTCTCCAGATGGACATCGGTCATCTCCGTGGGCTCCAGGTGGACACTGGTCACCTCTGAGGTCTCCAGATGGACACTGGTCACCTCGGTGGGCTCCAAGTGGACATCGGTCACCTCTGAGGTCTGCAGATGGACATCAGTCATCTGGGTGGGTTCCAGGTGGACACTGGTCACCTTGGTGGGCTCCAAGTGGACATCGGTCATCTCTGTGGGTTCCAGGTGGACATTGGGCAGTTCTGAGGTCCCCAGGTGGATATCAGACACCTCTGAGGTTCCCAGGTGGACATCGGTCACCTCGGTGGCCTGGAGCTGGACACCTGCGCCAGCTGAAGGTGGTGGCAACACCTGGAGCTGGACGTTGGTGACCTCACCTGGCTGGAGCTGGAGGTTGGTGGCACCTGGAGGTGGTGGCAACACCTGGAGCTGGACAGTGGCGACCTCACCTGGCTGGAGATGGACGTTGGTCATCTCAGGTGGTCCGGCCAACACCTGGAGCTGGAGGTTGGTGGCACCTGGGGGCGGTGGCAGCACCTGGAGCTGGAGGTTGGTGGCACCTGGGGGCGGTGGCAGCACCTGGAGCTGGAGGTTGGTGGCACCTGGGGATGGTGGCAGCACCTGGAGCTGGAGGTTGGTGGCACCTGGGGATGGTGGCAGCACCTGGAGCTGGAGGTTGGTGGCACCTGGGGGCGGTGGCAGCACCTGGAGCTGGACGCTGGTGAGCTCAGGTGGCTGGAGATGGACGTTGGTCACCTCTGAGGGCACCGGGAGCACATGGAGCTGCACCCCTGTCACACCTACACCTGTCACACCTGTGACACCTGTCACACCTGTCCCACCTAAACCCATCACACCTGTCCCACCTAAACCTGTCCCACCTGTGACACCTGTCCCACCTAAACCTTTCCCACCTAAACCCATCACACCTGTCCCACCTAAACCTGTGACACCTGTGACACCTGTGACACCTGTCACACCTAAACCTGTCCCACCTAAACCCATCATACCTGTGACACCTGTCCCACCTAAACCCACCACACCTGTCCCACCTACACCTGTCATACCTGTGACACCTGTGACACCTGTCCCACCTAAACCTGTCACACCTGTCCCACCTGTGACACCTACACCTGTCCCACCTAAACCCATCACACCTGACCCACCTGTCACACCTACACCTGTCCCACCTGTCCCACCTAAACCCATCACACCTGTCCCACCTAAACCTGTCACACCTGTGACACCTGTGACACCTGTCACACCTAAACCTGTCCCACCTGTGACACCTGTGACACCTACACCTGTCCCACCTGTCCCACCTGTGACACCTGTGACACCTGTGACACCTACACCTGTCCCACCTGTCCCACCTAAACCTGTCACACCTGTGACACCTAAACCCATCACACCTGTGACACCTACACCTGTCCCACCTGTCCCACCTGTCCCACCTAAACCCATCACACCTGTCCCACCTGTCCCACCTGTCACCTCCTGGCCCTGCAGCTGGACATTGGTGACCTCTGGGGCCACGGGCAGTACCTGGAGCTGGACACCTGTGACACCTCCACTTGTGCCACCTGTCACACCTGTGACAGGTACACCTGTGACAGGTACACCTGTGAGACCTGTGATACCTGTGAGACCTACACCTGTCACACCTGTAAGCCCTGTCACAGTGGTTGTACCTGTGACACCTCCAGCGGTCACACCTGTCACACCTCCAGCTGGCACACCTGTGACACCTGTGATACCTGTCACACCTGTCACACCTGTCACACCTGTGACAGGTACACCTGTGAGACCTCCGCCTGTCACACCTGTAACCCCTGTCACACCGGTTGTACCTGTGACACCTCCAGCGGTCACACCTGTCACACCTCCAGCTGGCACACCTGTAAGCCCTGTCACACCTACTCCTGTCATACCTGTCATACCTGGAACCCCTGTCACACCTGTCGCACCCGCCACACCTGTCACCCCTGTCAGACCTACTCCTGTCACACTTGTCACACCTGTAACCCCTGTCACACCTGCCACACCTGGAACCCCTGTCACACCTGTCACACCTGTAAGCCCTGTCACACCTACTCCTGTTATGCCTGTCACACCTGTCACCCCTGGAACTGCTGTCACACCTGTAACCCCTGTCACATCTGTCACACCTGCCACACCTGTAACCCCTGTCACACCTGTAACCCCTGTCACACCTGTCACACCTGTAACCCCTGTCACACCTACTCCTGTTATAGCTGTAACCCCTGTCACACCTGTAACCCCTGTCACACCTGTAACCCCTGTAACCCCTGTCACACCTGTAAGCCCTGTCACACCTGTCACACCCGTAAGCCCTGTCACACCTGTCACACCTGTAACCCCTGTCACACCTGTCACACCTGTCACACCTGTAACCCCTGTCACACCTGTCACCCCTGTCACACCTGTAACCCCTGTCACACCTGTCACCTCAGCCGCCTCCGTCCCGCCGCCAGGTATGAGCAGCAGCCCCCTCCAGCCGCGCTGCCCCACCTGCGCCAGGTGCGGCCGGGCGGGGCCGGGCGTGGCGGGCAGCAGCAGCACCTTGCTGGGGGCGGGGCCCAGCACCAGGTACACCGCAGGTGGGGGCGGCGGCGCAGGTGCGGCGCGCGGGGCGGCGCCGTGGGTGCGCAGGTGCCGCTGCAGGTAGGCGGCGGCGGCGAAGGCCTTGGCGCAGGTGGGGCAGCGGAAGGGCCGCGCCGCCGAGTGCGTGCGCAGGTGCAGGTGCAGGTTGGAGGAGTGCGTGAAGCTCTTCCCGCAGGTACCGCAGGCGTACGGCCGCTCACCTGTGTGCACCCGCAGGTGCTGCCGCAGGTTGGCCGCCTGCGCGAAGCCCTTGCCGCAGGTGCCGCAGGTGTGCGGGCGCTCACCTGTGTGGGTGTGGCGGTGGCGCCGCAGGCTGGAGGAGTTCTTGAAGGCCTTGGGGCAGGCGGGGCAGCGGTACGGCCGCTCACCTGAGTGCTGCCGCAGGTGGTACTGGTAGTGCGACGCCCACTTGAAGGTGAGGCCGCACTGGGCGCACCTGAAGGCGCGCAGCCCCGTGTGCACGCGCAGGTGCGCCTGCAGCAGCGAGGAGCGCTTGAAGCTCTTGCCGCAGGTGCCGCAGGCGTAGGGCCGCTCACCTGTGTGGTCGCGCAGGTGGTAGCGCAGCCCCGAGGAGCCCTTGAAGGCTTTGCCGCACTCGCCGCACCTGTACGGCCGCTCGGGCGGGGCCGGCGGCGCGGGCTCACCTGGCGGGGGCGCGGCCAGGTGAGGCGGGGCTCTGGTGGCGCACCTGGGCCGCTCGTGGCCGGGCAGGTGCCGCGCCAGCCCCGAGGTGCTGTCGAAGCTCTCGCCGCAGGTGAGGCAGCGGTGGGGCGGGGCCGGCGGCGCCTCTTGCTGGGCGCAGGTGAGCCCCGTTGGCCGCCAGAGCGGCTCAGGTGAGGCGGCGGCGGCGGGCGGGGCGGGGCCCGGCAGGTGTCGGCGCGGGCAGGTGCGCGAGGCCGCGGGCGCGGCGCAGGCGGGGCAGGGCGGGGCGGGGCCGTGCGTGCGCAGGTGCAGGTGCAGGTTGGAGGAGTGCGTGAAGCCCTTGCCGCAGGTACCGCAGGCGTACGGCCGCTCACCTGTGTGCACCCGCAGGTGCTGCCGCAGGTTGGCCGCCTGCGCGAAGCCCTTGCCGCAGGTGCCGCAGGTGTGCGGGCGCTCACCTGTGTGGGTGTGGCGGTGGCGCCGCAGGCTGGAGGAGTTCTTGAAGGCCTTGGGGCAGGCGGGGCAGCGGTACGGCCGCTCACCTGAGTGCTGCCGCAGGTGGTACTGGTAGTGCGACGCCCACTTGAAGGTGAGGCCGCACTGGGCGCACCTGAAGGCGCGCAGCCCCGTGTGCACGCGCAGGTGCGCCTGCAGCAGCGAGGAGCGCTTGAAGCTCTTGCTGCAGGTGGCACAGGCGTAGGGACGCTCACCTGTGTGGCCCCGCAGGTGGTAGAGGAGGGCGGAGGAGCCCTTGAAGGCCTTGGGGCACTCGGGGCACTTGTAGGGGCGCTCACCTGTGTGGCTGCGCAGGTGATGCGCCAGGCGCGAGGACCAGCGGAAGGATTTGCCGCACTCCCGGCAGGTGAAGGGGTGCTCGGGGGCGCCTGCGGGGGGCGCCGCGCCCGCCATGGCCGCACCTGAGGGGGACACGGCCGCAGGTGAGAGCCCAGACACCTGTGCTCACAGCCTGACTCAGGGGAGAGCCCGGAGCTGGGACAGGTGAGAGCCTCACTGTAGAACATGGGGGACAGGTGAGAGCCTGCACCTGAGACAGGTGAGAGCCCAAACATAAAACACTGGGACAGGTGAGAGCCCAGACCGGACACAGGTGAGAGCTCAAACTTGACACAGGTGAGAGCCCAGACCTGACACAGGTGAGTGCCCAAACATGAAACACGGGGACAGGTGAGAGCCCAGACCTGGGACAGGTGAGACCCCAGACCTGACACAGGTGAGAGCCTCACTGTGGAACATAGGGGACAGGTGAGAGTCTGCACCTGAGACAGGTGAGAGCCCAGACCTGAGACAGGTGAGACACCAGACCCAAGGTACAGAGACAGGTGAGAGCCTGCACCTGACACAGGTGAGAGCCCAAACATGGAACACAGGGGACAGGTGAGAGCCTGCACCTGACTCAGGTGAGAACTCAGACCTGGGACAGGTGAGAGCCTCACTGTAGAATATGGGGGACAGGTGAGAGCCTGCGCCTGACTCAGGTGAGAGCCCAGACCCAAAACACGGGGACAGGTGAGAGCTCAGACCTGGGACAGGTGAGAGCCCAGACCTGACACAGGTGAGAGCCTCACTGTGGAACATAGGGGACAGGTGAGAGCCTGCACCTGAGACAGGTGAGAGCCCAGACCTGAGACAGGTGAGACACCAGACCCAAGGTACAGAGACAGGTGAGAGTTCAGACCTGACACAGGTGAGAGCCCAAACATGGAACACAGGGGACAGGTGAGAGCCTGCACCTGACTCAGGTGAGAACTCAGACTCAAAACACAGGGACAGGTGAGAGCCCAGACCTGACACAGGTGAGACACCAGACGCAAGACACAGAGACAGGTGAGACCCTAGCCCTATACCAGGTGTGCAGGTGGGACCCCAAACCCTAAAATGCGGGAACAGGTGAGACCCCAAACCCATCCCAGGTGTGCAGGTGGGACCCCAAACCCACCCCAGGTGTGCAGGTGGGACCCCAAACCCTAAAAGGGGGAACAGGTGAGACCCCAAACCCCTTTCAGGTGTGCAGGTGGGACCCCAAACCCATCCAGGGGGCGTGGCCAAACCGGGGGCGTGACAAAGCCACAGTAAGCCCCGCCCACCTTAGAGACTCCGCCCCTTTCCCCTCCGGCCCCGCCCCTTTCCCCTCAGCCCCTTCAGGCCCCGCCCCCTCCAGGCCCGTCCCGCACAGGCGCCGCCGCCGCGGCCCCGCCGCTTCCTCCTCCTCCTCCTCGTCCTGCCCCGCTCCCCGCTCACCTGCCGGGCTCGCGGGGGCTCCGCCGGGGCCGGAACCGGGATAAAACCGGGCCAGAACCGCGGTAGAACCGGGCCAGAACCGGGCCCGGCGCCGCGCAGCGCCCGGGCCGCGCCGCCTCGTCAGGCCACGCCCCCTCCGCCTCACCAGACCACGCCCCCTCCGCCTTCCCGCCTTCGCCGCCGCCAATCAGGGCGCGAGGCATTGGGGCAGACCACGCCCCCTCTAGCCCCGGAAGTGCGCGCGGTGCGCGCTGGGTAATGTAGTCCCGAGCCCGCCCCTGTTCTAGTGGCCCTTACTGGGTTGTACTGGTTTGTACTGGTTATACTGGGTTATACTGGTTTGTATTGGTTTGTACTGGGTTATACTGGTTTGTATTGGTTTGTACTGGGTTATACTGGTTTGTATTGGTTTGTACTGGGTTATACTGATTTGTACTGGTTTGTATTGGTTTGTACTGGGTTTTACTGGTTTGTACTGGGTTGTACTGGTTTATACTGGTTTGTATAGGTTTGTACTGGGTTTTACTGGTTTTACTGCAATTCTCACCTGGAATCTCTCACCTGGAATCCTCACTTGGAATCTCTCACCTGGAATTCTCACCTGGCCCCTCTCACCTGAAATCTCTCTCACCTGAATCTTACCTGGAATTCTCACCTGGAATCTCTCACCTGCAATCCCTCTCACCTGGAATCCTCACCTGGCCGCTCTCACCTGGAATATTCACCTGGTTACTCTTACCTGCAGTCCCTTACCTGGAATCCTCACCTGAACCTCTTACCTGAACCTCACCTGCAATTCTTACCTGGAATCTTCACTTGGAATCTCTCACCTGGAATCCCTCAGCTGGAATCTCTCTCACCTGAGCCTTACCTGGCCATTATCACCTGGAATCTCACCTGGAATCTCTCACTGGAATCTCTCACCTGGAATCCTCACCTGGCCATTCTCACCTGGCCCCCCCTGACCCCGTCAGTCCCCGCGGGGCTCAGGTGCCCCCGCGCACCTGGGCAGGTGAATAAGTCCAAAATGGCGCTGGGACCCTCCAGGTGTGGATTATGTTGTCCCCCCAGGTGTGACAGGTGCGAAGCTCAGGTGTCCCTGCCCCCCTCAGGTGTGAATTTTGGGAGCCCCCGCCCCCCTCAGGTGTGGATTTTGGGGGTCTCCCCCTCCCCCACCTGTCCAGTGACTCCGCCCCCAAAGCTCCAGGTGTGCCTCAGGTGAGAGCAGTGATGACGTCATCAATTAACAACCAATCAATGAATTAACGATCCTTTAATTAACAATCAATCAATTAACAATCCTTTAATGAATGATCCAGGTGTGCCCCGCCCCAGCGCTGCAGGTACCGCCCGGAAAGGTGGGACAGGTGAGACAGGTGAGCTCAGGTGTGCCCCAGGTGAGCTCAGGTGTGCCCCAGGTGTGTTCAGGTGTTCCCCAGGTGTGCCCCAGGTGTGTTCAGGTGTTCCCCAGGTGTGCCTCAGGTGAGCTCAGGTGTGCCCTGGGTGACCCCAGGTGTGTTCAGGTGAGCTCAGGTGTGACCCAGGTGAGCTCAGGTGTGTTCAGATGTGCCCAAGTGTTCCCCAGGTGAGCTCAGGTGTGCCCAGGTGTTCCCTGGGTGACCCCAGGTGTGTTCAGGTGAGCTCAGATGTGCCCCGGGTGAGCTCAGGTGTGCCCAAGTGTGCCCCAGGTGTGCTCAGGTGTGCCTCAGGTGTGTTCAGGTGTGCCCAGGTGAGCTGCCCCTGCCCCATTGTCCAAGAGGGAAAGGCCCCACCCCATCCAGGTGTGCCCTGCCCCATCCAGGTGTGCCCTGCCCCATCCAGGTGTGCCCTGCCCTATCCAGGTGTGCACACACCTCATCCAGGTGTGCACCTGGAGCTTCCCAAACCCACCCCAGTCCATGCTGGGCTCAGGTGGGTGCTCAGGTGAGCGCCCAGGTGGGTGCCCAGGTGAGCCCTCACAGCGCTCACAACCTTGGAGGTCCCTCGGTTCCTCGCCCACTGTTGGTGACGTCACAGCTCAGGTGTGACCCCTCACCTGGGCCTCAGGTGCTGCAGAGTTCGGGGTCCACACCTGTCCTGAGGCCCCTCACCTGCAGCTCAGGTGTCTCTGTCCAGGTGTTGCTGCTGCAGTTCTGGGGTTTTCACACCTGTCCAGGTGTGCAGTTCCGGGTTTCCCTCACCTGCAGCTCAGGTGTCGCAGTCCAGGTGTTGCTGCTGACATTTTGGGGTCCATAGAAGATTTTTGGGTTCCACACCTGTCCAGGTGTGCAGTGCCGGGTTTCCCTCACCTGGAGCTCAGGTGTCTCTGTCCAGGTGTTGCTGCTGCACCTTTTTGAGGTCCAAACTCCATTTTTGGGGTCCACACCTGTCCGGGCTCACAGGTACCAAGTCCTTTCACCTGGGGCTCAGGTGTTGCAGTCCAGGTGTTGCTGCTGCCATTTTGGGGTCCACAGGAGATTTTTGGGGTCCACACCTGTCCAGGTGTGCAGTTCTGGACTCCTTTCACCTGGAGCTCAGGTGTCTCTGTCCAGGTGTTGCTGCCGCACCTTTCTGGGTTCCATAGAAGATTTTTGGGGTCCACACCTGTCCAGGTGTGCAGTTCTGGGTTTCCCTCAACTGTAGCTCAGGTGTCACAGTCCAGGTGTTGTTGCTGCACCTTTTTGGGTTCCAAACTCCATTTTTAGGGTCCACACCTGTCTGGGCTCAAAGGTACTGAGTCCCTTCACCTGGATCTCAGGAGTCTCTGTCCAGGTGTTGCTGCTGCACCTTTCTGGAGCCCACACCTGTCCAGGTGTACAGTTCTGGGTTTCCCTCACCTGCGGCTCAGGTGTCGCAGTCCAGGTGTTGCTGCTGCACCTTTTTGGGTTCCAAACTACATTTTTGGGGTCCACACCTGTCCAGGTGTGCAGTTCTGGAGTCCTTTCACCTGCAGCTCAGGTGTCACAGTCCAGGTGTTGCTGCTGCACCTTTTTGGAGCCCACACCTGTCCAGGTGTGCAGTTCTGGAGTCCCTTCACCTGCAGCTCAGGTGTCACAGTCCAGTTGTTGCTGCTGCCATTTTGGGGTCCATAGAAGATTTCTGAGTTCCACACCTGTCCAGGTGTGCAGTTCTGGAGTCCTTTCACCTGGGGCTCAGGTGTCACAGTCCAGGTGTTGCTGCTGCACCTTTTTGAGGTCCAAACTCCATTTTTTGGGGTCCACACCTGTCTGGACTCACAGGTACTGAGTCCTTTCACCTGGGGCTCAGGTGTTGCAGTCCAGGTGTTGCTGCTGCACCTTTCTGGGTTCCAAACTCCATTTTTGGGTCCACACCTGCCCAGATGTGCAGTTCTGGAGTCCCTTCACCTGCAGCTCAGGTGTTGCAGTCCAGGTGTTGCTGCTGCCATTTTGGTGTCCACACCTGTCCAGGTGTGCAGTTCTGGAGTCCTTTCACCTGCGGCTCAGGTGTCACAGTCCAGGTGTTGCTGCTGCACCTTTCTGGGTTCCATAGAAGATTTCTGAGTTCCACACCTGTCTGGGCTCACAGGTACCAAGTCCTTTCACCTGGGGCTCAGGTGTCACTGCCCAGGTGTCGCTGCCCAGGTGTGCAGACCCGGGGCCGGCCTCACCTGTGGCTCAGGTGTGGCGGTGCACGCGCTGGTGCTGCAGCAGGTTGGAGGGGTGCGCGAACCCTTTGGCGCACACCCCGCACTTGTAGGGCGTCTCACCTGTGTGCACCTTCTCGTGCACGGCCAGGTAGGCCAGGTCCTTGAAGAACTTGTGGCAGTGGCAGCAGCGGTGCGGCCTCACCTGTGCAGGTGTGCGGTTCTGGGGCTCTCTCACCTGTCCAGGTGTGCGGTTCTGGGGCTTCCTCACTTTAAGCTCAGGTATCACAGTCCAGGTGTTGCTGCTGCACCTTTTGGAGGTCCAAACTCCATTTTTGGGGTCCACACCTGTCCAGGTGTGCAGTTCTGGACTCCTTTCACCTGCAGCTCAGGTGTCTCTGTCCAGGTGTTGCTGCTGCACCTTTCTGGGGTCCGTAGAAGATTTCTGAGTTCCACACCTGTCCAGGCTCACAGGTACCGAGTCCTTTCACCTGGGGCTCAGGTGTCGCAGTCCAGGTATTGCTGCCACACCTTTTTGAGGTCCAAACTCCATTTTTGGGGTCCACACCTGTCCGGGCTCACAGGTACCGAGTCCTTTCACCTGCAGCTCAGGTGTTGCAGTCCAGGTGTTGCTGCTGCACCTTTCTGGGTTCTCTAGAAGATTTTGGGGTCCACACCTGTCTGGGCCCACAGGTACCGAGTCCTTTCACCTGGGGCTCAGGTGTCGCAGTCCAGGTGTTGCTGCTGCAACTTTTTGAGGTCCAAACTCCATTTTTGGGGTCCACACCTGTCCAGGTGTGCAGTTCTGGAGTCCTTTCACCTGCAGCTCAGGTGTCACAGTCCAGATGTTGCTGCTGCCATTGTGGGGTCCACAGAAGATTTTTGGGGTCCACACCTGTCCAGGTGTGCAGTTCTGGAGTCCCTTCACCTGCAGCTCAGGTGTCGCAGTCCAGGTGTTGCTGCTGCACCTTTTTGCAGTCCAAACTCCATTTTTGGGGTCTACACCTGTCTGGGCTCACAGGTACCGAGTCCTTTCACCTGCAGCTCAGGTGTCACAGTCCAGGTGTTGCTGCCGCACCTTTTTGAGGTCCAAACTTCATTTTTGGGGTCCACACCTGTCCAGGTGTGCAGTTCTGGGTTTCCCTCACCTGCAGCTCAGGTGTCACTGCCCAGGTGTTGCTGCTGCACTTTTCTGGGTTCCATAGAAGATTTCTGAGTTCCACACCTGTCTGGGCTCACAGGTACCGAGTCCTTTCACCTGGGGCTCAGGTGTTGCTGCCCAGGTGTCGCTGCCCAGGTGTGCAGATGCGGGGCCGGCCTCACCTGTGGCTCAGGTGTGGCGGTGCACGCGCTGGTGCTGCAGCAGGTTGGAGGGGTGCGCGAACCCTTTGGCGCACACCCCGCACTTGTAGGGCGTCTCACCTGTGTGCACCTTCTCGTGCACGGCCAGGTAGGCCAGGTCCTTGAAGAACTTGTGGCAGTGGCCGCAGCGGTGCGGCCTCACCTGGCGGGGCTGCGGCTGCTGGGGCCGCACCTGCGCAGGTGTGCGGCTCTGGGGCTCCCTCACCTGTCCAGGTGTGCGATTCTGGGGCTCCCTCACTTTAAGCTCAGGTGTCACAGTCCAGGTGTTGCTGCTGCCATTTTGGGGTCCACAGGAGATTTTTGGGTTCCACACCTGTCCAGGTGTGCAGTTCTGGAGTCCTTTCACCTGGGGCTCAGGTGTCACAGTCCAGGTGTTGCTGCTGCACCTTTCTGGGTTCCGTAGAAGATTTTTGGGGTTCACACCTGTCTGGGCTCACAGGTACTGAGTCCTTTCACCTGCAGCTCAGGTGTCGCAGTCCAGGTGTTGCTACCGCACCTTTCTGGGGTCCAAAATCCATTTTTGGGGTCCACACCTGTCTGGGCTCACAGGTACCGAGTCGTTTCACCTGGGGCTCAGGTGTCACTGCCCAGGTGTCGCTGCCCAGGTGTGCAGACCCGGGGCCGGCCTCACCTGTGGCTCAGGTGTGGCGGTGCACGCGCTGGTGCTGCAGCAGGTTGGAGGGGTGCGCGAACCCTTTGGCGCACACCCCGCACTTGTAGGGCGTCTCACCTGTGTGCACCTTCTCGTGCACGGCCAGGTAGGCCAGGTCCTTGAAGAACTTGTGGCAGTGGCCGCAGCGGTGCGGCCTCACCTGGCTGTGCACGCGGCGGTGCTGCAGCAGCAGCGAGGGCCGGGCGAACGCCTTCCCGCAGGCCTCGCACCTGTAGGGCCGCTCACCTGTGTGCGCCCGCTGGTGCACGGCCAGGTAGGAGGACTGCTTGAAGCGCTTGCCGCAGGTGCGGCAGGCGAAGGGGCGCTCACCCGTGTGCACGCGGCCGTGCGAGGCCAGCGCGTTGCTCTGCTTGAAGGCCTTCCCGCAGAGCGCGCACCTGAAGGGGCGGTCACCTGTGTGCACGCGCTCGTGCACCTTCAGCGAGTGCCCGTAGGCGAAGCGCTTCCCGCAGACGCCGCAGGCGTGCGGCTTGTCCTGGCAGCCGCGCCGCCGGTGCAGCAGCAGCGCCTTGGCCGCCGCGAAATCCTTGCCGCACTCGCCGCACCTGAAGGGCCGCTCGGCCGCCAGGTGCGTCAGGGCGTGGCGCTGGCGCTCGTAGGGCGTCTTGAAAGCCTTGGCGCACCTGGGGCAGGTGAAGGGGCGCTGGCCGCTGTGGATGCGGCGGTGCTCCTGCAGGTTGGAGGCGCGTTTGAAGCGTTTGCCGCAGAGCTCGCAGCGGTGCGGCCGCTCCTCCGTGTGCACCAGCGCGTGGCTCTTGAAGTCCGAGTGGCGCTTGAAGGTGGCGCGGCACACCTGGCAGGTGAAGGGCCGCGCCTCCGTGTGCACCACCTGGTGGCTCAGCAGCTCCCAGGTGCGCTTGAAGGCCTTGTGGCAGACGGGGCACTGGAAGGGCTTCTCGGCCACGATCACCTGGCGGATCTCCAGGTGGGACGGGACCTCCTCTTCTTCCTCCTCCTCCTCCTCCTCCCCAGGTGCGTTTTGGCGCTGTCCTTCCTCCTCCTCGGCCTCACCTGGCGCACCTGGCGCACCTGGGCGGCCGCCCAGCACCAGCTTGGCGGTGGAGTAGACGCCGCGCTCGTCGATGAGCTGCACGAAGGCGCCTGGCTCAGGTGAGGCGGGCGCACCTGGCGGGTGCCAGGGCACCTGTGGGTGGGAGGGGCCGGGCTGGTCGTGGGATGGGCGTGGCCGCAGGTAAAGGCGGGGCTGGCGCAGGTGGGGGGGGTCGGCTGGGTCCTCCTCACCTGCATCTTCGTCATCACCTGTGTCTTCCTCACCTGGGTCTTCATCACCTGGGTCTTCCTCACCTGCATCTTCATCATCACCTGGGTCTTCCTCACCTGGGTCTTCATCATCACCTGCGTCTTCATCACCTGGATCTTCGTCATCACCTGGATCTTCGTCATCACCTGCTTCTTCCTCACCTGTGTCTTCATCCTCACCTGCATCTTCATCACCTACGTCTCCCTCCCCTGGATCTCCCTCACCTGGATCTTCATCATCACCTGGATCTTCCTCCTCACCTGCTTCTTCACCTGTTCCTTCCTCACCTGACCCTTCCTCCTCCTCACCTGGCTGCTCCTCCTCCTCCTCCTCCTCCTCCTCCTCCTCGGACAGGTGAGGGATCACCTGGGCAAAGGGGGGGTCCCGGCCCCGGAGCCCCTCCATGGCCGCACCTGGAAAAGCGGGAATGGGACAGGTGGGACAGGTGGGGGACAGGAGGGACAGGTGGGACAGGTGAGGGACAGGTGAGACAGGTGAGACAGGTGGGGGACAGGTGGGACAGGTGGGACAGGTGGGACAGGTGAGGGACAGGTGGGACAGGTGGGACAGGTGAGGAACTTGGAATTCCCCTGGGAATCCCCTGAGCTAAATTTGGGATCCCTCAGGAATTCCGAGCTGGATTTGGGGATCCCCTCAGGAGATCCCTGGGGAGGGATTTTGGGGATTCCTGGAGCTGAATTTGGGGATCCCCTTGGGAATTCCCTGAGTGGGACTTGGGGATCCCCCTGGAATGGATTTGGGATCCCTTTGGGAATTCCATGCAGGATTTGGGGATCCCCTTGGAAACTCCTGGAGCTGAATTTCGGATCCCCTCGGGAATTTCCAGGGATGGATTTGGGGATCCTTTGAGTTGAATTTGGGGATCCCTTCGGGAATTCCTTGGGATGGATTTGGGGATCCCTTTGGGAACTTCCTGAGTCAGGAATCATTTTGGGGACTCTCCTAAAATGGATTTGGGATCCCCTTGGGAATTGCCTGGGATGGATTTTGGGGATCCCTCGGGAATTCCCTGGGAGGGATTTTGGGGATCCCTTTGGGAATTCTGAGCTGGATTTTGGGATCCCCTTGTGAACTCCTGGAGCTGAATTTGGGGATCCCTTTGGAGCCGCCAGGCCTGGATTTGGGGATCGCCTTGGGAATTCCCTGGGATGGATTTTGGGGATCCCTTGAGTTGAATTTGGGGATCCCCTCGGGAATTCCCTGGGATGGGTTCAGGGATCCCTTTGGAAATCTCCTGGAATGGATTTGGGGATCCCCTCGGGAATTCCCTGGGACTGATTTGGGATCCCCTTGGGAATTCCATGCAGGATTTGGGGATCCCCTTGGAAACTCCTGGAGCTGAATTTGGGGATCCCCTCGGGAATTCCCTGGGATGGATGTTGGGGATCCTTCGGGAATTTCCAGGGATGGATTTGGGGATCCCTTGAGTTGAATTTGGGGATCCCTTCGGGAATTCCCTGGGATGGGTTTTGGGATCTCCTTGTGAATTCTCAGCTGGATTTTGGGATCTACTTGGAATCTCCTGGAGCTGAATTTGGGATTCCTCAGGAATTCCCTGGGAGGGATTTGGGGATCCCTTGAGTTAAATTTTGGGGATCCCTTTGGGAATTCCCTGGAATGGATTTGGGGATTCCCAAATTGGGAATCCCCCCAGAGTGGGATTTGGGAATCTCCTGAAATGGGTTTGGGATCCCTTTGGAAACTCCTGGAGCTGAATTTGGGGGATCCCCTTGGGAATTTCCAGGGATGGATTTGGGGATCCCTTGAGTTGAATTTGGGGATCCCTTTGGGAATTCCTTGGGATGGATTTGGGGATCCCTTTGGGAACTTCCTGAGTCAGGAATCATTTTGGGGACTCTCCTAAAATGGATTTGGGATCCCTTTGGGAATTTTAAGCTGGATTTGAGATCCCCTTGGGAATTCCCTGGGATGGATTTTGGGGATCCCTTGAGCTGAATTTGGGGATCCCTTTGGGAATTCTGAGCTGGATTTGGGGATCCCTTTGGAAATCTCTCGGAATGAATTCGGGGATGCCCTCAGGGATTCCTTGGGATGGATTTGGGGATCCCTCCTGGAATGGATTTGGGATCCACTTTGGGAATTCCCGGAGCGGGATTTGGGAATCTCCTGAAATGGATTTGGGATCCCTTTGGAAACTCCTGGACCTGAATTTGGGGATCCCCTCGGGAATTCCCTGGGATGGGTTTTGGGGATCCCTTGAGTTGAATTTGGGGATCCCTTTGGGAATTCTGAGCTGGATTTGGGGATCCCTTTGGAAATCTCTTGGAATAAAATTTGGGAATTCCAGAGAATTGGAGCAGTTCTGAAAATCCCAAAAATCATCCGGGATCCCAAAATCTGGGAGCGAAAATTTGGGAATTCCAACAGCTCCGAGGAGCCCCAAAATGCCAAAACCTGGGACTGGAATTTGGGGAATTCTGGTGTCACTGAGGAGGCCCCAAATCCTAAAATCCAGAATTGGAATTTTGGGAATTCCAGCACCACAGAGGCCAAAAATCCCAAAATTTGGGATCAGAATTCTGGGAATTCCAGAACCATCTAAAAGACCCAAAATCCCAAAATCTGGAACCGTAATTTTGGGAATTCCAACAGCTCCAAGGAGGCCCCAAACCCCAAAATTTGGGATCGGAATTCCGGGAATTTCAATCCTAAAATCTGGGATCGTAATTCCAGAATGTTGATGCCTCCAAGGAAGCCCCAAAATTTGGGATTTGTGAATTCTCTGGGTCGAGATTTGGGATTTAGAACTCCCAAAATTCAGGATTTGGGATCTCCAAAATTCGAGATTTGGGATCTCCAAAATTTGGTATTTTGGACCCCCAAAATTCGGGATTTGGGACCCCCAAACTTTGGGATTTTGGACCCCCAAAATTCGGGATTTGGGACCCCCAAACTTTGGGATTTGAGACCCCCAAAATTCGGGATTTCAGACCCCAAAATTTGGGATTTGGAATCCCCAAAATTCAGGAATTGGGACCCCTAAAATTCAGGATTTAGGACCCAAAAAATTTGCGATTGGGACCCCTCCCCAAAATTCGGGATTTGGAATCCCCAAAATTCGGGATTTGGTATCTCAAAATACGGGTTTTGGATCCCCAAAATTCGGGATTTGGGACCCCAGTCCATCCCAGTCCCTCCCAGTTTATCCCAGTTCCATCCCAGTCCCTCCCAGTCCCATCCCAGTCCATCCCAGTTTATCCCAGTTTATCCCAGTCCATCCCAGTTCCATCCCAGTCCCTCCCAGTCCCTCCCAGTCCATCCCAGTTTATCCCAGTCCATCCCAGTTCCATCCCAGTCCCTCCCAGTCCCTCCCAGTCCATCCCAGTTTATCCCAGTCCATCCCAGTCCATCCCAGTTTATCCCAGTCCATCCCAGTCCATCCCAGTCCCTCCCAGTCCATCCCAGTCCATCCCAGTTTATCCCAGTCCATCCCAGTCCATCCCAGTCCATCCCAGTCCATCCCAGTCCATCCCAGTCCATCCCAGTCCATCCCAGTTCCATCCCAGTCCATCCCAGTTCCATCCCAGTTTATCCCAGTCCGTCCCAGTTTCGCTCCCGTTTCTCACCCGCCGCCGCCGCCCCCGGAGCCACTTCCGGCCGCGCTCGCGCGCGATGACGTCACCGCGGAAGGGGCGGGGCCAGGGCGGGAACTGGGAGGGACTGGGACAAACTGGGACAAACTGGGACAAACTGGGACGGACTGGGACAAACTGGGACAGACTGGGACAGACTGGGACAGACTGGGACAGACTGGGACGGATTGGGACGGGATCTGGGGGAACTGTAAAGGGGAATTTTAAGGAGACGGGGATCCCAAAATCGCGGATTTAACCCCAAAAATCGGGGATTTAACCCCAAAAATCGGGGATTAAACCCGAAAATTGCAGATTGAACCCCGAAAATTGCGGATTTAATCCCGAAAATCGGGGAATGAACCCATAAATCGGGAATTGAACCCCAAAAAACGAAACTTGAACCCCGAAAATCGGGAATTGATCCCAAAAATCGGGATTTAACGCCAAAAATTACGGATTGAACCCTAAAAATCGGAGTTGAAACCCAAAAATTGTGGATTTAACCCCGAAAATTGCGGATTTAACCCTGAAAATCAGGAATTGAACCCCGAAAATTGCGGATTTAACCCCAAAAATCAAAACTTGAATCCCGAAACTCGGTAATTGATCCCAAAAATCGGGATTTAACCCCAAAAATTGGGGATTGAACCCAAAAATCGGGCCTTGAACCCCGAAAATTGCGGATTTAACCCCAAAAATCAAAACTTGAATCCCGAAACTCGGTAATTGATCCCAAAAATCGGGATTTAACCCCAAAAATTGGGGATTGAACCCAAAAATCGGGCATTGAATCCCGAAAATTGCAGATTCAACCCTAAAAATTGGGGATGTAACCCCGAAAATCAGGAATTGAACCCCGAAAATTGCGGATTTAACCCCGAAAATCGGGGATTGAACCCCAAAAATCGGGGATTTAACCCAAAAATCGGGGAATGAACCCAAAAATCGGGGATGTAACCTCGAAAATCGGGGATTGATCCCAAAAATCGGGGATGTAACCCCGAAAATTGCTGATTGAACCCCAAAAATCGGGCATTGAACCCCGAAAATGGAGGATTTAACACCGAAAATCGGGGATTTAACCCCGAAAACTGCAGATTTAACCCCAAGAATTGGGAATTTTTGCCACAAGTTGAGAATTCCGTTTTTTTCCTCCCAAAAATCTCTTTCCGACGAGGGTGGGATTGGAACCCGCGCGTGCAGAGCACAATGGATGAGCAAAAAAGGGAATTTTGGTGGTTTTCACCCCAAAAAACCATCTCCGGGCATTGGAGGATTCGGGATCACCCTAAAAATGTGGAATTTCGGGTTTTCACGCTAAAAATCGGCTTCCGACGAGGGTGGGATTGGAGGATTTGGGATCACCCCAGAAATCGGGATTGAATAGCAAAAATCGAGGATTGAGTCCCAAAAGTCGAGGATTGAGCCTGAAAAATCGGAGCATGAACCCCCAAAAATCGGAGATTTAACCCCAAAAAATCGGGGATTTGATCCCAAAAATCGGGGATTTGATCCTAAAAAACGTGAAATTTTCCTACCAAAATCGGGGATTGAAGCAAAAATCGGGGATTTGATCCCAAAAATCGGGGATTGAAGCCCAAAAATCAGGAATTTAACCCAAAAATCGGGGAAGGAACCTCAGAAATCGGGGATGGAACCCCGAAATTGGGGGGTTCACCCACTGTAAATTGCGAATTTTTCCGTTAAAAAAAGGGAAGTTTGGGGTTTTTCCTCCCAAAAACCGTAGTCCCGACGAGGGTGGGATTCGAACCCACGCGTGCAGAGCACAATGGATTAGCAGTCCATCGCCTTAACCACTCGGCCACCTCGTCCGCGGCTGCGCACGCGCGCCCGGAGCCCATAGGCTGCCAAAAGGGGGCGGGGCCAGGGCGGGGGCGTGGTCTCAGTGATGGGCGTGGTCTATATGGGGGCGTGGCCAGGACGCGGTGGTGACCGCGGGTTCGATTCCCGGCCCGGGAGGATCGAGGCCAAATTTCTCTTTTTTAGCCCAAATTTATCCCAAATTTCTCTTTTTTAGCCCAAATGTATCCAATTTTCTCTGTTTTAGCCCAAATTTATCCAAATTTTCTCTTTTTTACACCAAATTTATCCCAAATTTCTCTTTTTTATCCCAAATTTTCTTTTTTTAGCACAAATTCACCCAAATTTTCTCCTTTTTAACCCAAACTTATCCAAATTTTCTCTTTTTTAGCCCAAATTTATCCAAATTTTCCCTTTTTTAGCCCAAATTTATCCAAATGTTCTCTTTTTTAGCCCAAATTCACCCATATTTTCTCTTTTTTTAGCCCAAATTTATCCAAATTTTCTTTTTTTTAGCCCAAATTTACCCAAATTTTCTTTTTAGTCCAAAATCACCCAAATTTTCTCTTTTTTAGCCCAAATTTACCCAAATTTTCTTTTTAGTCCAAATTCACCCAAATTTTCTCTTTTTTAGTCCAAATTTCTTCCGATTTTCTCTTTCTTAGCCCAAATTTATCCTAAATTTCTCTTTTTTAGCCCAAATTTATCCCAAATTTCTCTTTTATAGACCAAATTTCTTCCGATTTTCTCCTTTCTTAGCCCAAATTTATCCCAAATTTTCTCTTTTTTAGTCCAAATTTCCATTTGGAATTTCTGGGATTTCCCTTTTTTTGGGGAGGGGAAATTCGGGATTTTTCCTTCTTGGGAAATGGGAAATTTGGGATTTTTGGGGTTTCGCCTTTTCTGGGAGATGGAAATTTGGGATTTTTGGCATTTCCCTTTTCAGGAAGATGGAAATTTGGAATTTCTGGGAATTTTTTCTCTTTTTTGGGAAGGGAAATTTGGGATTTTCCCTGTTTGGGACATGGGAAATTTGGGATTTTTGGGATTTTCCTTTTTTGGGAATGGAAAATTGGGATTTTGGGTTATTTCGCTTTTTGGGACATTTGGGAAATTTGGGATTTTTCTGATTTACCTTTTTTTTGGGAATGGAAATTTGGGATTTTTGGGATTTCCCTTTTTGGGAAGAGAAATTTGGGATTTTGGGGGAGGGGAATTTGGGATTTTTGGGATTTTCCATTTTCGAGGAAGGGAAATTTGGGGTTTTTGGTATTTTTCCCCTTTTTGCGGAGAGCTAATCTGTATTTTTGGGGGTTTTTCCATTTTTTGGAGGAGGAAAATTCGGGATTTTTGGGATTTCCCCTTTTTGGGGAACGGAAATTTGGAATTTTGGCATTTTGGGATTTCCCCTCTTCTGGAAGATGGAAAGTTGGGATTTTGGGATTCGGGGGGAGGAAAATTTGGGATTTTTTGAATTTTCCCATTTTTGGGGAGGGGTCGGGGGAGGTTTTTAAGTCCGAAGGCGGCGCATGGAGCGCGCGGCGCCGTGGCTTAGTTGGTTAAAGCGCCTGTCTAGTAAACAGGAGATCCTGGGTTCGAATCCCAGCGGTGCCTCCGCTCTGTCGCGACATAATCGCGACAGCGCCGCCGATATTTTCCGCATTTCACCCCCTTTTTTTTTATTTTTAATTTGATAAATTATTTTTAAACGCGGGGAGAGATAAGGGGGGGGGAATCAAACAGAGGATTCCGCCAGGGGAAGCGGGAATAAGTGAGGAAAATCAATTAAAAATAAATAAAATAAATGAAGAAAAAGACTTTTCCCTGACCGGGAATCGAACCCGGGCCGCGGCGGTGAGAGCGCCGAATCCTAACCACTAGACCACCAGGGAGGGCCGCGAGCAGTATGGCTCCAGCGCCACCAGACCTCTGGAAACGCGCGCTGATTGGCTAAACCCGCCCTGCTGGCGTGTCAATCAAAGCGCGCAGCCAACCAGAGCGCGGCTTTGGGGTGGACACGCCCCCGCCTCAGGTTTCCCGCTTCCCCGTGTGGGGAGAAAATTTCGGGGATTTTGGGGTGGAATTCGGGAATTTTGGTGAAAATTCGATGGTTTTAGGGCGGAATTCTGGAATTTGTGAGCGAAATACGGAGATTTTTGGGGCAAAACTCGGGGATTTCTGGTGGAAATTCGGATGGAAATTCGCATATTTTGCCCCCCGACTCAGGGGTCTCGTGTGGGGAGAAAATTTCGGGGATTTTCTTGGTGGAATTCGGGAATTTTGGTGAAAATTTGATGATTTTAGGGCGGAATTCTGGGATTTGAGGGCAAAATGCGGAGATTTTGGGGCAAAACTCGGGGATTTCGGGTGGAAATTCGGATATTTCGCACCGAAGCCGCGTTCTGCGTGCTGATTGGCTGCGCGGGCACGGAGAAGGTGTCAATCACAGTAAAGAGCCAATCAGAGCGCGTCTTCGGTGTGGTCCCGCCTCCCCGCCTCTGGTTTCCCGGCGCTGTGAGGAGGAAACATTTCGGGGATTTTGGGGTGAAATGCGGGAATTTGGTGAAAATTCAGGGATTTAGGGCAGAATTCAAGGATTTGTGAGCGAATTGTGGAGATTTTGGGGCAAAACCCGAAGATTTCTGGTAGAAATTCAGGGATTTTGCGCCGAAGCCGCGTTCTGGGCGCTGATTGGCTGCGCGGGTACGGAGGAGGTGTCAATCACGATTGAGAGCCAATCAGAGCGCGGCTTTGAGATGGTCACGCCCCCGCCTCAGGTTTCCCGCCTTTCTTTGTGGGGAGGAAATTTGGGGATTTTGGGGTGAAATTCTGGAATTTTGGTGAAAATTCAGGAATTTTGGGGTAAACTTCGGGGATTTTGGGGGTTTTGGCGCGGAATTTAAAGATTTGGGGGTGAAATTTGAGGATCTGGGCTGGAATTTGGCCATTTGGGGGTGAAATTGGGGAATTTTCGGGTGAAATTCAGAAATTTGGGGATGAAATTTGGGGATTTTGGGATGAAATTTGGGGATTTTGGGGGTGAAATTTGGGGATTTTTGGTGGAATTTGAAGATTTTGGGGTGAAATTCAGGGAATTGGGATGAAATGTGGAGATTTTGAGGTGAAATGTGGAGATTTTTGGGGTGACATTTGGAGATTTTAGGGTGAAATTCGGGGATTTGGGGTGAAATTTTGGGATTTTGGGGTGAAATTTTGGAATTTTGGGGTGACATTTTTGGGATTTTGGGAGAAATTTGCGGATTTTAGGTCAAAATTGGCGGATTTTGCTCCAAGCACAAAGACACGAAGCCCCCGAGGGTCGTTTTTAATCCTTTGGGGAGGGGTTTGAAGCCACAGAGGTGCCCCAGATGCCACCAAGGTGTCCCCAGATGTCCCCAGGTGCCACCCAGATGTCCCCAGATGCCACCCAGGTGTCCCCAGGCACCCCCGAGTGCCACCAATGTGTCCCCAGAAGCTACCAGGTGTCCCCAGATGCCACTTGGATGTCCCCAGGTGCCACCCAGATGTCCCCAGATGCCACTCGGATGTCCTCAAGTGCCACCAAGGTGTCCCCAGATGCCACCCAGGTGTCCCTAAGTGCTCCCAGGTGTCCCCAGATATCCCTCAGATGTCCCCAAGTGCCACCAAGGTGTCCCCAGAAGCCACCAAGGTGTCCCCAGATGCCACTCAGATGTCCCCAAGTGCCACTAAGCTGTCCCCAGGTGCCACCCAGGTGTCCTTAAGTGTTCCCAGGTGTCCCCAGATGCCACTTGGATGTCCCCAAGTGCCACCAAGGTGTCCTTAAGTGTTCCCAGGTGTCCCCAGATGCCACCCAGGTGTCCCCAGATGCCACCCAGGTGTCCCCAAGTGCCACCAAGGTGTCCCCAGATGTCCCCAGACGCCACCCAGGTGTCCCCAAGTGTCCCCAGGTGTCCCCAAGTGCCACCAACCCCCCCAAAATCCGCCTTTCTTGGGTTTCCCGAGGTGGCAGCTGGGGCGGTGCCACCCCCGAAGTGCCACCGGCCGTCCCCCGCGGTGTCACCCGCGGTGTCACTCGGGCCTCAGCCATGTCCCCTGCTCCTCCACCTCCGGGGCCACCACCAGGAGCAGCTCCGACGTGTCCGGGGCCAGCGCTGTCCTCAGGAACTCCCTGGGGACAGAGGGGACAGTGAGGGGACAATGAGGGGACAGTGAGGGGACAATGAGGGGACAGAGAGGGGACAGAGAGGGGACAGAGAGGGGACAGCGAGGGGACAGAGAGGGGACAGTGAGGGGACAGTGAGGGGACAGTGAGGGGACAGAGAGGGGACAGTGAGGGGACAGTGAGGGGACAGTGAGGGGACAGAGAGGGGACAGTGAGGGGACAATGAGGGGACAGTGAGGGGACAGAGAGGGGACAATGAGGGGACAGTGAGGGGACAATGAGGGGACAATGAGGGGACAGTGAGGGGACAATGAGGGGACAGTGAGGGGACAGAGAGGGGACAGAGAGGGGACAGCGAGGGGACAGAGAGGGGACAGTGAGGGGACAGTGAGGGGACAGTGAGGGGACAGAGAGGGGACAGTGAGGGGACAGTGAGGGGACAGTGAGGGGACAGAGAGGGGACAGTGAGGGGACAGAGAGGGGACAGTGAGGGGACAGAGAGGGGACAATGAGGGGACAGAGAGGGGACAGAGAGGGGACAGAGAGGGGACAGAGAGGGGGCAGAGAGGGGACAGAGAGGGGACAGTGAGGGGACAGTGAGGGGACAATGAGGGGACATTGAGGGGACAATGAGGGGACAGAGAGGGGACAGAGAGGGGACAGAGAGGGGACAGAGAGGGGGGACAGAGAGGGGACAGAGAGGGGACAGTGAGGGGACAGAGAGGGGACAATGCCACCCACAAAGCCACCAAAGGTCCTTTTCAATCCTTTGGGGACGGATTTGAAGCCACAGAGGTGCCCCAGGTGCCACCCAGGTGTCCCCAAGTGCCACCAAGGTACCCCTAGATGTCCCCAGGTGACCCAAAGTGCCACCCAGATGTCCCCAAATGCCACCAAGTGTCCCCAAGTGCCACCCACATGTTCCCAAGTGCCACCCAGGTGCCCCCAGGTGTCCCCAGGTGTCCCAAAGTGCCACCCAGGTACCCCCAGATGTCCCAAAGTGCCACCCAGATGTCCCCAGGTGTCCCCAGATGCCACCAAGGTACCCCCAGATGCCACCTAGGTGTCCCCAGATGCCACCAAGGTGTCTCCAGGTGCCCCAAAGTGCCCCCTGATGTCCCCAAATGCCACCAAGCGTCCCCAAGTGCCACCCACATGTCCCCAAGTGCCACCCCGGTGCCCCCAGGTGTCCCCAGATGCCACCAAGGTACCACCAGATGTCCCCAGGTGTCCCCAGATGCCACCAAGGTGCCACTAGGTGTCCTAAAGTGTCACCCAGATGTCCCCAGATGCCACCAAGGTACCCCCAGATGTCCCCAGGTGTCCCCAGATGCCACCAAGGTACCCCCAGATGCCAGCTAGGTGTCCCCACGTGCCACCAAGGTGCCACCAGGTGCCCCAAAGTGCCACCAAGTGTCCCCAAGTGCCACTCAGATGTCCCCAGATGCCACCCGTGCCCCGCTGTCACCTGAGCTGTGTCTCGGTGCCGATGGCCGCGGGTGCTACCCCAATGTCCCCAGGTGCCCCCCTGATGTCCCCAAGTGCCATCCCAATGTCCCCAAGTGCCACCAAGGTACCTCCAGATGTCCCAAAGTGCCACCCACATGTCCCCACATGCCACCAAGGTGCCACCAGGTGCCCCAAAGTGCCACTGTGATGTCCCCAAATGCCACCAAGTGTCCCCAAGTGCCACTCACATGTCCCAAAGTGCCACCCAGATGTCCCCAGATGCCACCAAGGTACTCCCAGATGTCCCCAGGCATCACCAAGTGCCACCCTGATGTCCCAAAGTGCCACCCACATGTCCCCAAGTGCCACCCAGGTGCCCCCAGGTGTCCCCAGGTGCCCCAAAGTGCCACCCAGATGTCTCCAAGTGCCACCCAGGTACCCCCAGATGTCCCAAAGTGCCACCCAGATGTCCTCAGATGTCCCCAGATGCCACCAAGGTACCCCCAGATGCCACCTAGGTGTCCCCAGATGCCACCAAGGTGACCCCAAGTGTCCCTAGACACCTCCCAGGCATCCCCAAGTGCCACCCAGATGACCCCAGATGTCCCCAGGTGTCCCAAAGTGCCACCCAGATGTCCCCAGATGTCCCAAAGTGCCACCCAGGTGCCCCCAGATGTCCCCAAGTGCCACCCCAATGTCCCCAAGTGCCACCAAGGTACCCCCAGATACCAGCTAGGTGTCCCCACGTGCCACCAAGGTACCCCCAGATGCCACCAAGGTGCCTCCAGGTGTCCCCAAACACCCCCCTGATGTCCCCAAATGCCACCCTGCCCGCTGTCACCTGAGCTGTGTCTTGGCCCCGATGGCCGCGGGCGCTACCCTGATGTCCCCAAGTGCCACCAAGGTACCCCTAGATGCCAGCTAGGTGTCCCCACGTGCCACCCAGGTGCCCCCAGGTGTCCCCAGATGCCACCAGATGCCACCAAGGTGCCACCCCGATGTCCCCAAGTGCCACCCACCCCGCTGTCACCTGAGCTGTGTCTCGGCCCCGATGGGCGCGGGCGCGGGCAGTTTGGAGTCCAGGTTGTAGAAGGTGTCCCCGAGGCGGCGCACGCAGAGCCAGTGGGGGCGGCACAGCGGCAGCGCCAGCGCGCCCAGCCGCACCCGCGAGGGCACGTTCAGCAGCAGCCCCAGCACGTGCGGCAGCGACAGCCGCTCCAGCGGCCTGAGGGGTAATTAACGGCCTTGCGTTAATTGGGGCTCGTCTCGTTAATTGGGGGTCATGAAGGTTAGGAACGCGGTGGGGGCGGGTGGTTGTGGTGGGCTGGAGGGCGGTCAAACGGGTTTGGAGGGGATGGAATTTGGGGCTGGGGGCTCTGGGAGGGTCTAGATTTGGGTGTGGGGTCCTGGAAGGGGTCTGGAATTTGGGTCTGGGGTCTCGAGGGTGTGTCCTGAAATTGGGGAGGGGTCTCAGCGCTGTTTGTCCCAAAATACTCAAGGAGAAAGGAAAAATCTGAGAGGTCCCATATTGGGTTGGGGGGTCCTAAATTGGGTCTGGGATCTCAAAGAGGTCTCAAATTTGGGTCTGGGGTCTCGGCAGCCCCAGCACGTGCGGCAGCGACAGCCGCTCCAGCGGCCTGCGGGGTAATTAACGGCCTTCTGTTAATTGGGGCTCGTCTCGGTAATTGGGGTCATGCAGGTTACGAACGCGGCGGGGGCGGGTGGTTGTGGTGGGCTGGAGGGGGGTCAAACGGGTTTGGAGGGGATGAAAATGGGGCTGGGGGATCTGGGAGGTCTCTAATTTGGGTGTGGGGTCCTGGAAGGGGTCTGAAATTTGGGTCTGGGGTCTCGAGGCTGTGTCCCGAATTTGGGGAGGGGTCTCACCACCTTTTCTCCCAAAATACTCAAGGAGAAAAGAAAAAATTTGAGAGGTCAAAAATTGGGTCAGGGGTCTTTTAAGGGGGTAAAATTTGGGTCTGGGGTCTCTGGGAGGGTCCAGATTTGGGTGTGGGGTCCTGGGAGGGGTCTGGAAATTGGGTCTGGGGTCTCGAGGCTCTGTCCTGAATTTGGGGAGGGGTCTCACCACCTTCTGTTCCAAAATACTCAAGGAGAAAGATGAAATGTGAGAGGTCCCAAATTGGGTTGGGGGGTCCTAAATTGGGTCTAGGGTCTTGAAGAGGTCTCAAATTTGGGTCTGGGGTCTCGGCAGCCCCAGCACGTGCGGCAGCGACAGCCGCTCCAGCGGCCTGAGGGGTAATTAACGGCACCCTGTTAATTGGGGCTCGCCTCATTAATTGGGGGTTACGAACGCAGTGGGCGCGGGTGGTTGTGGTGGGCCGCAGTGGGGTCAAGGGGGTTTGGAGGGGATGAAAATGGGGCTGGGGGCTCTGGGAGGGTCTAGATTTCGGTGTGGGGTCCTGGAAGGGGTCTGGAATTTGGGTCTGGGGTCTCGAGGGTGTGTCCTGAATTTGGGGAGGGGTCTCACCACCTTTTCTCCCAAAACACCCCAGGAAAAAGAAGAAATGTGAGAGGTCCCAAATTGGGTTGGGGGAGTTCCTAAATTGAGTCTGGGGTCTCTGGGACCATCTAGATTTGGGTGTGGGGTCCTGGAAGGGGTCTGGAATTTGGGTCTGGGGTCTCGGGGGTCAGTGCCGAATTTGGGGAGGGGTCTCAGCGCTGTTTGTCCCAAAACACCCCAGGAAAAAGATGAAATGTGAGAGGTCCCAAATTGGGTTGGGGGGTCCTAAATTGGGTCTGGGGTCTTAAAGAGGTCCCAAATTTGGGTGTGGGGTCCTGGAAGGGGTCTGGAATTTGGGTCTGGGGTCTCGAGGCTGTGTCCTGAATTTGGGGAGGGGTCTCAGCACCTTTTCTCCCAAAATATCCCAGGAAAAAGAAGAAATGTGAGAGGTCCCAAATTCGGTTGAGGGGGTTCCTAAATTGGGTCTAGGGTCTTGAAGAGGTCTCAAATTTGGGTCTGGGGTCTCGGCAGCCCCAGCACGTGTGGCAGCGACAGCCGCTCCAGCGGCCGGCGTGGTAATTAACGGCACCGTGTTAATTGCAGCTCGTCTCGTTAATTGGGGGTCATGCGGGTGAGGAACGTGGCGGGCGCGGGTGGTTGTGGTGGGCTGCAGTGCAGTCAAAGGGGTTTGGAGGGGATGGAATTTGGGTCTGGGGTCTCTGGGAGGGCCCAAATTTGGGTCTGGGGTCCTGGAAGGGGTCTGGAATTTGGGTCTGGGGTCTCGTGGGTGTGTCCTGAATTTGGGGAGGGGTCTCAGCGCTGTTTGTCCCACAACACCCAAGGAGAAAGAAGAAATGTGAGAGGTCCCAAATTGGGTTGGGGGGTCCTAAATTGGGTCTGGGGTCTTGAAGAGGTCTCAAATTTGGGTCTGGGGTCTCGGCAGCCCCAGCACGTGCGGCAGCGACAGCCGCTCCAGCGGCCTGAGGGGTAATTAACGGCCTTCTGTTAATTGGGGCTCGTCTCGTTAATTGGGGGTTACAAACGTGGTGGGCGCGGGTGGTTGTGGTGGGCCGGAGGGCGGTCAAGGGGGTTTGGAGGGGATGGAATTTGGGGCTGGGGGCTCTGGGAGGGTCCAGATTTGGGTGTGGGGTCCTGGAAGGGGTCTGGAATTTGGGTCTGGGGTCTCAGCAGCCCCAGCACGTGCGGCAGCGACAGCCGCTCCAGCGGCCTGAGGGTAATTAACGGCGCTGTGTTAATTGGGGCTCGTCTCGTTAATTGGGGGTTACAAACGCGGCGGGCACGGGTGGTTGTGGTGGGCTGGAGGGGGGTCAAGGGGGTTTGGAGGGGATGGAATTTGGGGATGGGGACTCTGGGAGGGCCCAAATTTGGGTGTGGGATCGGGGGAAGGGTCTGGAATTTGGGTCTGGGGTCTCGTGGGTGTGTCCTGAATTTGGGGAGGGGTCTCAGCGCTGTTTGTCCCACAACACCCAAGGAGAAAGAAGAAATCTGAGAGGTCCCAAATTCGGTCAGGGGTCTTTTAAGGGTCTAAAATTTGGGTCTGGGGTCTCGGGGAGGGCCCAAATTTGGGTCTGGGGTCCTGGAAGGGGTCTGAAATTTGGGTCTGGGGTCTCAGAGGTCTGTGTTGAATTTGGGGAGGGGTCTCAGCACTGTTTGTCCCAAAACACCCAAGCAGAAAGAAAAAATGTGAGAGGTCCTAAACAGGGTCTGGGGTCTTTGGAGGCTCCACAATTTGGGTCTGGGGTCTCGGGGAGGGCCCAAATTTGGGACTGGGGTCCTGGAAGGGGTCTGGAATTTGGGTCTGGGGTCTCGGGGGTCTGTGCTGAATTTGGGGAGGGGTCTCAGCGCTGTTTGTCCCAAAACACCCAAGCAGAAAGAAGAAATCTGAGAGGTCCCAAATTGGGTTCGGGAGTTCCTAAATTGGGTCTGGGGTCTCTGGGAGGGTCCAGATTTGGGTGTGGGGTCCTGGAAGGGGTCTGGAATTTGGGTCTGGGGTCTCGGGGGTCTGTGCCGAATTTGGGGAGGGGTCTCAGCGCCGCTTGTCCCAAAACACCCAAGGAGAAAGAAGAAATCTGAGAGATCCTAAATAGCGTCAGGGGTCTTTCAAGGGTCTAAAATTTGGGTCTGGGGTCTCGGGGAGGGCCCAAATTGGGTCTGGGGTCCTGGAAGGGGTCTGGAATTTGGGTCTGGGGTCTCGAGGGTGTGTCCTGAATTTGGGGAGGGGTCTCAGCGCTGTTTGTCCCACAACACCCAAGGAGAAAGAAGAAATCTGAGAGGTCCCAAATTGGGTCAGGGGTCTTTTAAGGGCCTAAAATTTGGGTCTGGGGGCTCTGGGAGGGTCCAGATTTGGGTGTGGGGTCCTGGAAGGGGTCTGGAATTTGGGTCTGGGGTCTCGGGGGTCTGTCCTGAATTTGGGGAGTGGTCTCACCACCTTTTCTCCCAAAATACCCCAGGAAAAAGAAGAAATCTGAGAGGTCTCATATTGGGTTCGGGGGGGTTCCTAAATTGGGTCTGGGGTCTCAAAGAGGTCTCGAATTTGGGTCTGGGGTCCTGGAAGGGGTCTGGAATTTGGGTCTGGGGTCTCGAGGGTGTGTCCTGAAATTGGGGAGGGGTCTCACCACCTTTTGTCCCAAAACCCCACAGGAGAAGGAAGAAATCTGAGAGATCGTAAAGAGGATCTGGGGTCTTTGGAGGCTCCAGAATTTGGGTCTGGGGTCTCAGGGAGAGCCCAAATTGGGTCTGGGGTCCTGGAAGGGGTCTGGAATTTGGGTCTGGGGTCTCGGGGGTCTGTGCTGAAATTGGGGAGGGGTCTCAGTGCTGTTTCTCCCAAAACACCCAAGGAGAAAGAAGAAATGTGAGAGATCCTAAATAGGGTCAGGGGTCTTTGAAGGCTCTGGAATTTGGGTCTGGGGTCTCGGGGAGGGCCCAAATTGGGTCTGGGGTCTCGGCCGGGGTCTGTCCCGAATTGGGTCTGGGGTCTCACCGCCGCTTGTCCCACCAGAGCGCCGCCAGCCCGAGCGATCCCAGCGCCGCCATCACCACGTTCACATCGTAATCACCGGTACCGAGCAGAGAGCGGTGGGGGTTGGGCCGCGCATGGGGGGACAGCCTGGAGACCCCTCCCCAAATTAATTACCGGCCTGGAGACCCCTCCCCAAATTAATTAACGGCCCCAGACCCCTCCCCAAATTAATTAATGGCCTGCAGACCCCTCCCCAAATTAATTAATGGCCCCAGACCCCTCCCCAAATTAATTAATGGCCTGCAGACCCCTCCCCAAATTAATTAACGGCCCCAGACCCCTCCCCAAATTAATTAACGGCCCGAGACCCCTCCCCAAATTAATTAACGGCCCGAGACCCCTCCCCAAATTAATTAACAGCCCAGAGACCCCTCCCCAAATTAATTAACAGCCTGCAGACCCCTCCCCAAATTAATTACCGGCCCCAGACCCCTCCCCAAATTAATTACCGGCCCCAGACCCCTCCCCAAATTAATTAACAGCCCAGAGACCCCTCCCCAAATTAAGTACCGGCCCCAGACCCCTCCCCAAATTAATTAACGGCCTGCAGACCCCTCCCCAAATTAATTAACAGCTTGGAGACCCCTCCCCAAATTAATTAACGGCCTGCAGACCCCTCCCCAAATTAATTAACAGCCCAGAGACCCCTCCCCAAATTAATTAATGGCCTGCAGAACCCTCCCCAAATTGATTAACAGCCCGAGACCCCTCCCCAAATTAATGAACAGACTGCAGACCCCTCGCCAAATTAATTAACAGCCCCAGACCCCTCCCCAAATTAATTAACAGCCTGCAGACCACTCCCCTAATTAATTAATGGCCTGCAGACCCCTCCCCAAATTAATTACCGGCCTGCAGACCACTCCCCTAATTAATTAATGGCCTGCAGACCCCTCCCCAAATTAATGAACAGCCTGCAGACCCCTCCCCAAATTAATTAACAGCCCGAGACCCCTCCCCAAATTAATTAACGGCCTGCAGACCCCTCCCCAAATTAATTACCGGCCCAGAGACCCCTCCCCAAATTAATTAACAGTCCAGAGACCCCTCCCCAAATTAATTAATGGCCTGCAGACCCCTCCCCAAATTAATTACCGGCCTGCAGACCCCTCCCCAAATTAATTAACAGCCCAGAGACCCCTCCCCAAATTAATTAACAGCCCAGAGACCCCTCCCCAAATTAATTACCGGCCTGCAGACCTCTCCCCAAATTAATTACCGGCCCCAGACCCCTCCCCAAATTAATTACCGGCCTGCAGACCCCTCCCCAAATTAAGTAACAGCCCAGAGACCCCTCCCCAAATTAATGAACAACAGCCCCAGACCCCTCCCCAAATTAATTAATGGCCTGAGACCCCTCCCCAAATTAATTAACGGCCGAGACCCCTCCCTAAATTAATTAATGGCCCGAGACCACTCCCTAAATTAATTAACGGCCTAGAGACCCCTCCCCAAATTAATTAATGGCCTGCAGACCCCTCCCCAAATTAATTAACGGCCCAGAGACCCCTCCCCAAATTAATTAACACAACCAGACCCCTCCCCAAATTAATTACTGGCCCGAGACCCCTCCCCAAATTAATTAACGGCCTGCAGACCCCTCCCCAAATTAATTACCGGCCCCAGACCCCTCCCCAAATTAATTAACGGCCTGGAGACCCCTCCCCAAATTAATTAACGGCCCAGAGACCCCTCCCCAAATTAATTAACATCCCCAGACCCCTCCCCAAATTCAGGTTCCCCCCCGAGACCCCTCCCCAAATTCAGAAACCCCCCTGAGACCCTTCCCCAAATTCAAGAACCCCCCCCGAGACCCCTCCCCAAATTAAATAACCCCCCCCGAGACCCCTCCCCAAATTCGGGAACCCTTCCCAGCAGCCCCAAACCAGCCCCAAACCCCCTCCCACAGCCCCCAAACCCCCTGAGACCCCTCCCCAAATTCAATAACCCCCCCTGAGACCCCTCCCCAAATTCAGAAACCCCTCTGAGACCCCTCCCCAAATTCATAAACCCTCCAGAGACCCCTCCCCAAATTCAGGAACCCTTCCCAGCACCCCCAAACCAGCCCCAAACCCCCTCTGAACGCCTCCAAACCCCTGGGACCCCTCCTCAAATTCAGAAAACCCCACCAAGACCCCTCCCCACACGCTTGAGACCCCTCCCCAAATTGAGGAACCCTCCAAAGACCCCTCCCCAAATTCAGGAACCCTTCCCAGCACCCCCAAACCCCCCGAGACCCCTCCCCAAATTCAAGAACCCCCCAAGACCCCTCCCCAAATTAAGGAAACTGCCCTGAGACCCCTCCCCAAATTCAGAAAACTGCCCTGAGACCCCTCCCCAAATTGAGGAACCCTTCCCAGCACCCCCAAACCAGCCCCAAACCCCCTCTAAACGCCTCCAAACCCCCCGAGACCCCTCCCCAAATTCAGGAAACTGCCCTGAGACCCCTCCCCAAATTCAGAAACCCTTCTGAGACCCCTCCCCAAATTCGGGAACCCTTCCCAGCACCCCCAAACCAGCCCCAAACCCCCTCCCACAGCCCCCAAAGTCCCTGGGACCCCTCCCCAAATTCAGAAAACCCCACCAACACCCATCCCCACACCCTTGAGACCCCTCCCCAAATTCATAAACCCTCCAGAGACCCCTCCCCAAATTCGGGAACCCTTCCCAGCACCCCCAAACCCCCCCCAAACCCCCTCCCACAGCCCCCAAACCCCTGGGACCCCTCCCCAAATTCAAGAAACTGCCCTGAGACCCCTCCCCAAATTCAGAAACCCCCCCGAGACCCCTCCCCAAATTCGAAAACACCTCCGAGACCCCTCCCCAAATTGAGGAACCCTTCCCAGCACCCCCAAACCAGCCCCAAACCCCCCTGAGACCCCTCCCCAAATTCAGAAACCCCCACCAAGACCCCTCCCCACACCCTTGAGACCCCTCCCCAAATTCAAGAACCCCCCCCGAGACCCCTCCCCAAATTCGGGAACCCTTCCCAGCACCCCCAAACCGCCCCCAAACCCCCTCTGAATGCCTCCAAACCCCCCGGGACCCCTCCCCGAATTGGGTCTGGGGTCCGGGGGCCGCTGCCCGAATTGGGTCTGGGGTCTCACCGGCGGCAGATGCGGTCGGCCGAGGCCTGGCTGAGCCAGGGCCGCTGCAGGAGGTTGTTGAGGGCGTGCAGGGCGCAGAGCTGCCGCCGCTGCCGCTCGTGGTACGGCGCCCCCGGGACCCCAGACCCAATTCCGGCCAGGGCCCCCCCCGCGGCCGGGGAGACCCCCCCCAAATCCGGGGAGACCCCCCCCAAATCCGGGGAGAGCCCCCCCAAATCCGGGGAGACCCCCCCCAAATCCGCCTGGGGGGCTGCAGGGAGAGGGGAGGGGGGAAAGGGTGAGCGTGGGACCCCCGAGTTTGGGGAGACCCCTCCCCAAATTACCCCGAGACCACTCCCCAAATTACCCCAAATCCTCCTGAGACCCCTCCCCAAATTACCCCAATTCACCTTGAGAACCCTCCCCAAATTACCCCAAATTCCCCCGAATCACCGCTGAGACCCCTCCCCAAATTCCCCCGAATCATCCTGAAACCCCTCCTCAAATCACCCCAAGACCCCTCCCCAAATTCTCCCCAAAACTCTCTCAAATCGCCCCTGAGACCCCTCCCCAAACTACCCCAATTCACTTGAGACCCCTCCCCAAATTACCCCAAATCACCCCGAGACCCCTCCCCAAATTACCCCTGAGACACCTCCCCAAATTCCCTGAAATTCCCCCCAAAATTCCCTGAAATCACACCAAGACCCCTCCCCAAATTACCCCGAGACCCCTCCCCAAATCTCCCTGAGACCCCTCCCCAAATTACCCTGAGACCCCTCCCCAAATTCCCCAAATTCCCCCAAATTACCCCGAATCACCCAAGACCCCTCCCCAAATTACCCCGAGACCCCTCCCAAATTACCCTGAGACCCCCTCCCCAAATTACCCCAAATTCCCCCGAATCACCCCTGAGACCCCTCCCCAAATTACCCCTGAGACCCCTCCCCAAATTCCCCAAGACCCCTACCCAAATTATCCTCAAAATTCTCTCAAATTGCCCCTGAGACCCCTCCCCAAAATCCCCCCAAATTCCCCCAAATCCCCTCCAGGACCCCTCCCCAAATTCCTGACACCCCCAAATTCCCCCCAGGACCCCCCAAAATCCCTCCCAGGACCTCCAAATTCCTTCAAATCCCCCCAAAATCACCCCGGGACCCCCAAATCCCCCTCAGGACCCCTCCCAAAACTCCTGGCACCCCCAAAACCCCAAGACCACCCTGACCCCCCCCCCCCAAAAATCTCCTCAGGACCCCCAAAATCCCCCCAAAATCCCCCCAAAATCCCCCAAACCCCCCAGGCCTCTCCAGCCCTTCCCCTCTCCCGCGGCCTCCGCCTCCCTCCCCCCCCAAATCCTCTCCTGCCCCCCAAAACCCCCCAAGCCCTTCCCGAGCCCCCCAAATCCCCCCAGGACCCCCCAGGACCCCCCAAAATTCAGCCCCGGCCTCTCCCCCACTCCTCACCCCGCGTCTCCTCCGGCGCCATGGCGGGCCGGAACTACAACTCCCGTCATGCCCCGCGCCTCGCCGACCAATCAAAACGCGGCCACATCCTCCTCCATCCAATCAGCGCATTGACCTTCCTCCCGTAATGCTTCGCGCGCCAACATCCACCAATCAGCAGCCAGAACTCCTCCCTCCCCTCAGCGTTTCCACCAATCAGATCGCGGCTCCTCCCCGCCGCCATTACAAGAAGGGCGCCAGCACCGCCAGCCTCGGGCGGGGTTTTATTTTATTGTCCCCAAAATGTCCCCAAATGTTGGCGACAACAAATTTGTCCCCGTGGCGTCCCCGCTGGGTTCCCGCTCTCCCTCCTTCCTCAGCAGAGCTTGACGCAGCCGCCGTGTCCGGTGCAGGCTGCGGGGAGGGGATAAAATGAGCGGGACGTGGGGTGGTGGCGCGGGTGGCACCGAGGTGACACCGAGGTGACACCGGGGTGGCACAGGGGACAGGGCCACACCCAGCACGCTGCTCCAGAAGCTGTGGCGGGTGGCGCTGCCCGTGACGTGGCCGGGCTCGGCGGGGTTGCGGCGGGTGCTGGACACGGTCAGGGCGCGGCCACCCTCGGGGACAGCGGTGACATCCACGGTGACGATGTGGCAGTCGGGGACACTGCGGGGACATTGGGGACACTGAGGGGACATCCACGGTGATGATGTGGCAGTTGGGGACACTGCGGGGACAATGACAGGGACACTGGTGTGACATCCACGGTGACGATGTGGCAGTCGGGGACACTGTGGGGACATTGGGGACACTGAGGGGACATTGGGGACAGTGACAGGGACACTGCAGGGACATTGGGGACATTGAGAGTGACACTGGGGGGACACTGCGGGGACATTGGGGACACTGGGGGGGACATTGGGGACATTGACAGGGACACTGAGGGGACATTGAGGACACTGGGGGGACATCGGGGACAGTGACAGGGACACTGGGGGGACATTGGGGGCACTGGGGGGACACTGGGGACACTGCAGGGACATTGGGGACATTGGGGCACTGAGGGGACAGGGACAGGGACAGCAGTGTCACCTCCAGGGTGACGATGTGGCAGTTGGGGACATTGAGGGGACATTGGGGACATTGAGAGTGACAGTGGGGACACTGAGGGGACATTGGGGACATTGACAGGGACACTGGGGGGACATTGGGGACACTGCAGGGACACTGGGGACATTGACAGGGACATTGGGGACACTGAGGGGACATTGGGGGTGGCACTGGAAGGACAGGGAGGTGACACGGAGGTGACACAGAGAGGGACAGGGACAGGTAACACAGGAGGTGCCACCCACAGCACAGGTGCCACCCAGGTGCCACAGGAGGTGACACAGCCAGGTGACAGGTGCCACCCTGGTGCCACAGGAGGTCACCCAGGTGCCACAGGTGCCACAAAACGTGACACACACAGCACAGGTGCCATTCAGGTGCCACAGGAGGTGACACAGGTGCCACACACGACACAGGTGCCACAGGAGGTGACCCAGCCAGGTGACAGGTGCCACCCAGGTGCCACTCAGGTGCCATAGAAGGTGACACAGGTGCCACACACATCACAGGTGCCACCCGGGTGCCACATGAGGCCACCCAGGTGCCACATGAGGCCACCCAGGTGCCACACAGGTGCCACCCAGGTGCCACAGGTGCCACAAAACGTGACACACGCGGCACAGGTGCCAATCAGGTGACACAGGAGGTGACCCAGACAGGTGACAGGTGCCACCCAGGTGCCACTCAGGTGCCACAGGAGATGACCCAGGTGCCATCCAGGTGACACCCAGGTGCCACAGGTGCCACAAAACGTGACGCACACAGCACAGGTGCCACCCAGGTGCCACAGGAGATGACCCAGGTGCCACAGGAGGTGACCCAGCCAGGTGACAGGTGCCACCCAGGTGCCACAGGTGCCACACACAGCACAGGTGCCACCCAGGTGCCACAGGAGGTGACCCAGGTGACACATGAGGCCACCCAGGTGCCACCCACGTGCCAAAGGAGATGACCCAGGTGCCACCCAGGTGCCACCCAGGTGCCACAGGTGCCACAGGTGCCACAAAACGTGACACACACAGCACAGGTGCCACCCAGGTGCCACAGGAGGTGACCCAGACAGGTGACAGATGCCACCCAGGTGCCACTCAGGTGCCATAGAAGGTGACACAGGTGCCACACACAGCACAGGCGCCACCCAGGTGCCACAGGAGGTGGCCCAGGTGCCACATGAGGTGACCCAGCCAGGTGACAGGTGCCACCCAGGTGCCACAGGAGGTGACCCAGGTGACACCCGGGTGCCACAGGTGCCACCCAGGTGCCACTCAGGTGCCATAGAAGGTGACACAGGAGGTGCCACCCCCAGCACAGGCGCCACTCAGGTGCCACAGGGGGTGACACAGGTGCCACCCAGGTGCCACAGGTGCCACAAAACGTGACACACACAGCACAGGTGCCATTCAGGTGCCACAGGAGGTGACCCAGCCAGGTGACAGGTGCCACCCAGGTGCCACTCAGGTGCCATAGAAGGCGACACAGGTGCCACCCAGGTGCCACAGGAGGTGACCCAGGTGACACATGAGGCCACCCACGTGCCACCCACGTGCCAAAGGAGACGACCCAGGTGCCACCCAGGTGCCACCCAGGTGCCACAGGAGGTGACACAGGTGACACATGAGGCCACCCAGGTGCCATCCCGGTGCCACACAAGGTGACCCAGGTGACCCAGGTGCCACAGGAGGTGGCCCAGGTGCCACATGAGGCCACCCAGGTGCCATCCCGGTGCCACACAAGGTGACCCAGGTGCCATCCCGGTGCCACACAAGGTGACCCAGGTGACCCAGGTGCCACACACAGCACAGGTGCCACTCAGGGGGCACAGGAGGTGCCACAGGTGCCACCCAGGTGACCCAGGTGCCACATCAGGTGCCAGACAAGGTGACACAGGTGCCACCCAGGTGCCACAGGAGGTGGCCCAGGTGCCACATGAGGCCACCCAGGTGCCACCCAGGTGCCACAGGAGATGACCCAGGTGACACCCAGGTGACTCAGATGCCACCCAGGTGCCACCCAGGTGCCACAGGCAGTAACACAGGTGCCACTCAGGTGACCCAGGTGCCACATCAGGTGCCACACAAGGTGACACAGGTGCCACATGAGGCCACCCAGATGCCACCCAGGTGACACAGGTGACACCCCGGTGCCACTCAGGTGCCATAGAAGGTGCCACAAGTGCCACACACAGCACAGGTGCCACCCAGGTGCCACAGGAGATGACCCAGGTGCCACCCAGGTGCCACAGGTAACACCCAGGTGCCACAGGAGGTGACCCAGGTGCCACATGAGGCCACCCAGGTGCCACCCAGGTGCCACAGGATGTGACACCCGGGTGACCCAGGTACCACATGTGCCACTCAGGTGCCACCCAGGTGCCACAGGCGGTAACACAGGTGCCACTCAGGTGACCCAGGTGCCACATCAGGTGCCACCCAGGTGCCAGAGGCGCCACAAAACGTGACACACACAGCACAGGTGCCACCCGGGTGCCACATGAGGCCACCCAGGTGCCACAGGAGATGACCCAGGTGCCACATGAAGCCACCCAGGTGCCACCCCCGTGCCACCGTGGTGCCACCGCGCTGTCCCCGCGTGCCCACCTGGGGTCGGCCACCAGGCAGGCGGTGACGCCGTCGAAGCCGAGGCGCGGCGCCGCCACGGCCGCGGCCGCCATGGCGTTGACGTTGTTGGGGACAAGGGGACACAGCGGGCGCAGGGGACCCCGGTACAGCACCGTCCTCGTCCCCGAGGCCACCGCGGCCGCCAGGCGTGGGGACAGCCACCCCTGGGCACGGAAACTGCCCGGGGCCTTCGTCATCGTCACCGTCAGCGCCTGCGGCAGGGGACAGGGTCACCTTGGGGACATGGGGACATGGGGACATGGTCATCGTCACCATCAGCGCCTGCGGCAGGGGACAGGGTCACCTTGGGGACATGGGGACATGGGGACAGCCACCCCTGGGCACGGAAACTGCCCGGCGCCTTCGTCATCGTCACCGTCAGCGCCTGCGGCAGGGGACAGGGTCACCTTGGGGACATGGGGACATGGGGACAGCCACCCCTGGGCACAGACACTGCCCGGGGCCTTCGTCATCGTCACCGTCAGCGCCTGTGACAGGACAGGGACAGGGTCATTGTCACCTTGGGGACATGGGGACACCTCTGGGGACAGCCAGGGGACAGGGACAGGGTCACCTTGGGGACACGGACAGGGTCACCTTGGGGACATGGGGACATGGGGACAGGGTCACCTTGGGGACATGGGGACAGGGACATTGTTACCTTGGGGACATGGGGACATGGGGACAGGGACAGGGTCACCCTGGGGACATGGGGACAGGGACATTGTCACCTGGGGACATGGTCATTGTCACCTTGGGGACATGGGGACAGGGACATTGTCACCTGGGGACATGGTCATTGTCACCTTGGGGACATGGGGACAGGGACATTGTCACCTGGGGACATGGTCATTGTCACCTTGGGGACATGGGGACAGGGACATTGTCACCTGGGGACATGGTCATTGTCACCTTGGGGACACGGGGACATGGACATTGTCACCTTGGGGACGTGGGGACATGGTCAGGGTCACCTTGGGGACATGGGGACATGGGGACATGGGGACACCTCTGGGGACAGCCACCCCTGGGCACGGAAACTGCCCGGGGCCTTCGTCATCGTCACCGTCAGCGCCTGTGACAGGGGACAGGGACATTGTCACCTTGGGGACAGGGACAGGGTCACCTTGGGGACATGGGGACACGGTCAGGGTCACCTTGGGGACAACTGGGGACATTGTCACCTTGGGGACATGGGGACATGGGGACATAGTCACCTTGGGGACATGGTCATTGTCACCTTGGGGACACGGGGACATGGACATTGTCACCTTGGGGACGTGGGGACATGGTCAGGGTCACCTTGGGGACATGGGGACATGGGGACATGGGGACATGGGGACACCTCTGGGGACAGCCACCCCTGGGCACGGAAACTGCCTGGGGCCTTCGTCATCGTCACCGTCAGCGCCTGTGACAGGGGACAGGGACACCTTGGGGACATGGGGACAGGGACAGGGTCACCTTGGGGACATGGGGACAGGCAGAGGGTCACCTTGGGGACATGGTCAGGGTCACCTTGGGGACAACTGGGGACATGGACATTGTCATCTTGGGGACACGGGGACATGGGGACACCATCATTGCCACATCTGGGGACACAAGGACACAGGGACATGGACATTGTCACCTTGGGGACACCGTCAGGGACACGGGGACACGGTCAGGGTCACCTTGGGGACATGGTCATTGTCACCTTGGGGACATGGGGACACGGGGACACCTCTGGGGACACAGGGACATGGGGACACCGTCATTGTCACCTCTGGGACACCCAGGGGACATGGACATTGTCACCTTGGGGACACCGTCAGGGACACAGGGCCATTGTCACCTTGGGGACACAGGGACACAGGGACACCGTCACTGTCACCTCTGGGGACACGGGGACAGGGAGGGGACGGGGTGGGGACAGGGTGGGGACAGCTGTGACAAGGTCAGGGACTGTCCCCAATGTCCTGAATGTCCCAAATGTCCCCAATGTCCCCAGTGTCCCCAATGTCCCCAATGTCCCCAATGTCCCCAATGTCCCCAGTGTCCCCAATGTCCCCAATGTCCCCAATGTCCCCAGTGTCCCCAAATGTCCCCAATGTCCCCAATGTCCCCAGTGTCCCCAACCCCCCCAATGTCCCCATTCTCCCCATTGTCCCAATGTCCCCATTGCCCCCAATGTCCCCAATGTCCCCAATGTCCCCAACCCCCCATTGTCCCTAATGTCCCCAATGTCCCCATTGTCCCCAATGTCCCCAATGCCCCCAATGTCCCCAATGTCCCCAACCCCCCATTGTCCCTAATGTCCCCAATGTCCCCATTGTCCCCAATGTCCCCAATGCCCCCAATGCCCCCAATGTCCCCAATGTCCCCAATGTCCCCAATGTCCCCATTGTCCCCAATGTCCCCAATCCCCCATTGTCCCCAATGTCCCCAATGCCCCCATTGCCCCCAATGTCCCCAATGTCCCCAGTGTCCCCATTGTCCCCATTGTCCCCAATGTCCCCAATCCCCCATTGTCCCCAATGCCCCCAATGCCCCCAATGTCCCCAATGTCCCCAGTGTCCCCAGTGTCCCCATTGTCCCCATTGTCCCCAATCACCCCAATGTCCCCATTGTCCCCAATGTCCCCAATGTCCCCAATGTCCCCAATCCCCCATTGTCCCCAATGTCCCCAATGTCCCCAATGTCCCCATTGTTCCTAATCCCCTCAATGTCCCCAATGTCCCCAATCCCCCCAGTGTCCCCAATGTCCCCAGTGTCCCCAATGTCCCCAATGTCCCCAATCCCCCCAGTGTCCCCAGGGTGTCACCTGCAGTGTCCCCGCGCTGTCCATCCTGGCGATGTCCTCGCAGCCCCAGAGCGCCCCCCGGGGCACGTACAGGGTGTGTCCCCCCCGCGCCGCCGCCGCCCGCAGCCGCCGCTCGGTGTCACCGTCCGCCAGCGCCGTCGGGGACCCCAGCTGGGGACAGCAACGGGGACATCGGGGACATGGCAGTGCTTGGGGACATCGGGGACATTGGGGACATCGGGGACATGGCAGTGCTTGGGGACATCAGGGACACTGGGGGCATTGGGGGGGGTTAGGGATATTGGGGACATTGGGGAAATTTGGGGACATTGGGGGCATTGGGGGCATTGGAGGGGTTGGGGACATTGGGGACATTCGGGACATTGGGGGGATTGGGGACACTGGGGACATTGGGGACATTGGGGACATTGGGGACATTGGGGGGATTGGGGACATTGGGGACATCGAGGACATTGAGGGGATTATGAACAATGCGGGGGGTTGGGGACATTGGGGACATTGGGGACATTGGGGGGGTTGAGGACATTGGGGACATCGGGGGTTTGGGGACATTGGGAGATGGGGACAATGGGGACAATGGGAAGATTGGGGACATTGGGGACATTGGGGGTCTTGAGGACACTGGGGGGGTTGGGACAATCAGGGACATTGGGGACATTGGGGGGATTGGGGACATTGGGGACATTGGGGGATTAGGGACATTTGGGACATTGGGGATGTTGGGAGATGGGGACATTGGGGACATCGGGGACATTGGGGACATTGGGGATATTGGGGTGATTTGGGGGATTGGGGACATTGGGGACATTGGGGACACTGGGGACAACGGGGACACTGGGGACATTGGGGACATTGGGAAGATTGGGGACATTGGGGACATCGGGGGGCTTGAGGACACTGGGGGGTTGGGACAATCAGGGACATTGGGGACATTGGGATCAGTGCCAGTGTCCGCCAGCACCGTTGGGGACCCCAGCTGGGGAAAGCAACGGGGACATTGGGGGCATGGGGGACATTGGGGACATTGGGGACATTGGAGGGGTTGGGGACAATGGGGACATTGGGGACATTGGGGGATTTGGGGACAATGGGAGGATTTGGGGACACTGGGGGGATTTGGGGACATTGGGGGGATTTGGGGACATTGGGGGGTTTGGGGACATTGGGGGTTTGGGGACACAGGGGACACTGGGGACACGGTTGGGGTGTGGGGACACGGGCCAGCTGCGCGGTGTCCCCGCGGTGTCACCATCAGGTCGGCGTGTCCCAGGATGTCCTCGCCGTGCTCCTGCACCACGCACGGGTGGGCCACCTCCACCACCAGCGCCACCCCCCTGGGGACATCGGGGACATTGGGGACATTTGGGGGGATTTGGGGACATTGGGGGGATTGGGGACATTGGGGGGACATTGGGGACATCGGGGACATTTGGGGACATTGGGGGGATTGGGGACATCGGGGTCGTTTTTGGGGTGAATTTGGGGACATTTTTGGGGTGTCCCCGGGCAGTTTCAGGGATGTTTTTGGGGTGATTTTGGGATATTTTTGGGGATATTTTTGGGGTGAATACAGGATATTTTTTGGGTATTTTTGGAGTGAATCCGGGCAGTTTTGGGTACATTTTTGGGGTGAATTTGGGGCATTTTTGGGGAGGTTTTTAGGGTGATTTTGGGGACATTTTTAGGGTGACCCCGGGCAGTTTCGAGGAAGTTTTTGGGGTGAATTTGAGGATATTTTTGGGGTGACTCCGGGCAGTTTTGGGTACATTTTTGGAGTGAATTTGGGGACATTTTTAGGGTGACCCCGGGCAGTTTCGGGGATGTTTCTGGGGTGACCTCGGGCAGTTTTAGGGACATTTTTGGGGTGAATTTGGGGACATTTTTGGGCTGACTCCGGGCAGTTTCGGGGACATTTTTTGGGTGACTCCGGGCAGTTTTGGGGCCGTTTTTGGGGTGAATTTGGGGACATCTTTGGGGTGACCCCGGGCAGTTTTGGGGCCGTTTTTGGGGTGACCCCGGGCAGTTTCGGGGACATTTTTGGGGTGACCCCGGGCAGTTTTGGGGCCGTTTTTGGGGTGACCCCGGGCAGTTTCGGGGACATTTTTGGGGTGAATCTGGGATATTTTTGGGGAGGTTTTTGGGGTGAATTTGGGGACATTTTTGGGGTGACCCCGGGTAGTTTCGGGGACATTTTTGGGGTGACCCCGGGCAGTTTTGGGGCCGTTTTTGGGGTGTCCCCGGGCAGTTTTGGGGACATTTTTGGGGTGAATCTGGGATATTTTTGGGTACATTTTTGGGGTGATTTTGGGGCAGTTTTGGGGTGAATTTGGGGCAGTTTTGGGGTGTCTCACGTGCTCGGCAGCTGCCGCAGGTCCGCCAGGCGCAGGTGGGGGGGCAGCTCCTGCAGCGCCTCCGGGCGGCGCGTCCAGACAAAGGCGAGGGACAGCCCGAGGGACGGCCCGAGGGACATCAGCTGCGACACCAGGAACTGGCCTGGGGACAGGGCACTGTCACCTCCTGTCACCTCCTGTCACCTCCTGTCACCTCCTGCCACCTCCCTGGGACAGCCCGAGGGACGGCCCGAGGGACATCAGCTGTGACACCAGGAACTGGCCTGGGGACAGGGCACTGTCACCTCCTGTCACCTCCTGTCACCTCCTGTCACCTCCTGCCACCTCCTGTCACCTCCTGTCACCTCCCTGGGACAGCCCGAGGGACGGCCCGAGGGACATCAGCTGTGACACCAGGAACTGGCCTGGGGACAGGGCCATTGTCACCTCCTGTCACCTCCCCTGGGACAGCCCGAGGGACAGCCCGAGGGACATCAGCTGTGACACCAGGAACTGGCCTGGGGACAGGGCACTGTCACCTCCTGTCACCTCCTGTCACCTCCTGTCACCTCCCTGGGACACAGGGACAGCCCGAGGGACGGCCCGAGGGACAGCAGCTGTGACACCAGGAACTGGCCTGGGGACAGGGCATTGTCACCTCCTGTCACCTCCCTGGGACAGCCCGAGGGACGGCCCGAGGGACATCAGCTGCGACACCAGGAACTGGCCTGGGGACAGGGCACTGTCACCTCCTGTCACCTCCTGTCACCTCCTGTGACACAGGGACAGGGATGGCCCGAGGGACATCAGCTGCGACACCAGGAACTGGCCTGGGGACAGGCCATTGTCACCTCCTGTCACCTCCTGTCACCTCCTGTCACCTCCCCTGGGACAGCCCTGCCACCTCCCTGTCACCTCCCCCTGTCCCCTCCCTGTCACACCAGGAGCTGTCCCGAGGGGACCTTGGGGACATCGGGAATGTCGCTGTCACCTCCCGCTGTCACCCTCCCATTGTCCCCTCATTGTCCCCCCATTGTCCCCTCATTGTCCCCCCATTGTCACCCCCATTGTCACTCCCCATTGTCCGAACTTCGGGATTTGGGATCCCCAAAATTCAGGATTTCGGACCAGAAAATTCGGGATTTGGGATTTTCAAAATTCGCCATTGGGACCCCTCCCCAAAATTCGGGATTTGGAACCCCCAAAATTCGGGATTTGGTATCTCAAAATATGGATTTTGGAATTCCCAAAAATACGGGATTTGGACCAAAAACTTTGGAATTTGGGATCCCCAAAATTTAGGATTTGGGATCTCCTAATTTGGGATTTGGGATCCCCAAAATTTGGGATTTGGGATCCCCAAAATTTGGGATTTGGGATCCCCAAAATTTGGGATTTGGGATCCCCTAATTTGGGATTTGGAATCCCCAAAATTTAGGATGTGGGATCCCAAAATTCGGGATTTGGTATCTCAAAATTTGGGATTTGGGATCCCCAAAATTTGGGGTTTGGGATCCCCAAAATTTAGGATTTGGGATCCCCAAAATTTGGGATTTGGGATCCCCTAATTTGGGATTTGGGATCCCCAAAATTTAGGTTGTGGGATCCCCAAAATTCGGGATTTGGGATCCCCAAAATTTGGGATTTGGTATCTCAAAATGTGGGGTTTGGGATCCCCTAATTTGGGATTTGGGATCCCCAAAATTTGGGATCCCCTAATTTGGGATTTGGGATCCCCAAAATTCGGGATTTGGGATCCCCAAAATTCGGGATTTGGAATCCCCAAAATTCGGGATTTGGACCAAAAACTTTGGGATTTGGGATCCCCAAAATTCGGGATTTGGTATCTCAAAATGTGGGTTTTGGGATCCCCAAAAATACGGGATTTGGACCAAAAACTTTGGGATTTGGGATCCCCAAAATTCAGGATTTTGGACCTGAAAATTCGGGATTTTGACCGAAACCTTTGGGATTTGGGATCCCCTAATTTCGGATTTGGGATCCCCAAAATTTGGGATTTGTGATCCCCAAAATTTGGGATTTGGGATCCCCAAAATTTGAGATTTGGGATCCCCAAAATTTGGGATTTGGGAATCCCCAAAATTCGGGATTTGGTATCTCAAAATTTGGGATTTGGGATCTGCTAATTTGGGATTTGGGATCCCCAAAACTTAGGATTTGGGATCCCCAAAATTCGGGATTTGGGATCTCCAAAATTTGGGATTTGGGACCCCAGTTCCCTCCCAGTTCCCTCCCAGTTTATCCCAGTATAATCCAGTTCTCCCAGTACCGAGCTCTCCATATCCCAGGATTCCGACGCGCCGAGTCTGCGGCTGCTCCTCCATGGCCTGGGGCAGCCAATTAACGCTAATTAGCACTAATTAACCCCCAACCTCCCCTAATTAACCCTCTAAACCGCCCTAATTAACCCTAATCCCCCTAATTAACCCCCTAAACCCCCTTAATTAACCCCCAGACCCCCTAATTAACCCTAAACGCCCGTAATTAACTCCCAACCCCCCTAATTAACCCCCCCAATTAACCCTAGTCCCCCTAATTAACCCCCAAACCCCCTTAATTAACCCTCAAACCGCCCTAATTAACCCCTAAACCCCCCCAATTAACTGCGCACCCCTTAATTGCCCCCCAAACCCCTTAGCCCCCCCCCAGCCCCCCCTAATTCCCGCCCTAATTAACCCCAACTCACTAATTAGCGGTCGCTCCCCTCCCCCTCCTGCCCGCGCGCCCTTTGCCCCCCCCACCCCCCGCCTGGGGGCGTGGCCTGAGGGATTGGGGGCGGGGCCTGGGGCATTGGGGGCGGGGCATGTGGAAATAGGGGCGGGGCCTGGCGCAATGGGGGCGGGGCCTGGAGCGATTTTTGAGCGGTTCCATTTTTTTGGGGGGGGGGTCCCCAAATTTTTGGGGGACCCCAAATTTTGGGCGATTCCATTTTTATTTTGGGGCGATTCCATTTTTATTTTGGGGCGATTCCATTTTTATTTTGGGAGGGAGCACCAAATTTTGGACGATTTCATTTTTATTTTGGGCAGGGTCGCACCTTTGGGACCCCTAAATTTGGGGAGGGGTCGCCGTATTTTGGGCGATTCCATTTCTATTTTGGGGGGGTCGCACCTTTTGGACCCTCAAATTCTGGGGGGGGGGTCCCCAAATCTTGGGCGATTCCATTGTTATTTGGCGGGTGTCACCCACTTTTGGGTGGGGATCCCCAAATTTTGGAAGGTTCCATTTTTGTGGAGGGGTCGCACTTTTGGGACCCCAAATTTGGGGAGGTTCCTTTTTTTGGGGGGGTCGCTCCCTTCGGTCTCTTTAATGGGGAAGGGTCCCAAATTTGGGGGGAGCCCAAATTTTTTGGGGGGTCACACCCTCAACACCCCAAATTTTGGGGGCAGTCCCTTTTTGGGAGGGCCTCACATCTTTGTGACCCCAAATTTTGGGGGGGGGGTCCCATTTTTGGGGTTCTCCCCCTCCCCATTCCCATTCTCCCGGAGGGGGTCGCGATTCCCGCTCCCTCCGCTGTTCCCGTTGCCATGGGAACCACCCCTTCCCGTTCCCATGGCAACCGCCATTCCTCCGATGCACCCCTCCCTCCGCGCCGCGATTCCCGTTACTATGGAAACCTCACCTCCCCCCCCCGCTGTTCCCATGGCTGCGCCCCCTCCCCACGAGCTGCTGTCGCCATGGCAACGCTGCAGTTCCCATTCCCCTCCCCCCGCGCTGTTTCCATGGCAACGGGAACAGCGGAGAGAGGCGCGTTCCCCCCCCCCGGGGGGGTTTGGGTTTTTTTAGGGGATTTTGGGGCATTTCTGGGGTTTTTTAGGGGATTTTGAGGCATTTTTGGTTTTTTGGGGTTTTCTTTTTTTTTTTTTTTTTTTAATTACGAGGGATTTTGGTGGTTTTGGGGTATTTTTGGTGTGTTTTGGGGTGGTTTTTGGGGATTTTTTTGGGTAATCCGGGGGGATTTTGGAGTGTTTTTAGGGGCGATTTTGGGATATTTTGGGGTGGGTTTGGGATATTTTGGGGAATTTTGGTGGTTTGGGGTATTTTAGGTGGTTTTGGGGCGGTTTCGGTCTGTTTTAGGGGAAATGTTAGGATATTTTGGGGCTATTTGGGGTATTTTTGGAGAATTTTGGTGATTTGGAGTGTGTTTTGGAGGAGTTTTTAGGGCATTTTTGGGGTTTTTAAAGCAGATTTTGGGACATTTTTTGGGTTTTTTGGGAGGAATTGGGGGGGCTCTCGTGGTTTTGGGGCCTTGTGGGATATTTTTGGGGTATTTTTGGTGGGTTTTGGGGATTTTTTTAGATTATTCGAGAGAATTTTGGGGTATTTTAGGGGCGATTTTAGGATATTTTGGGGTAAGTTTGGGGTATTTTGGGGAATTTGGTAGCTTTGGGGCATTTTTAGGACTTTTGGGGGCATTTTTGGGGGCACTTTTTGGGGTTCAGATGGTTTTTAGAGTTTTTTGGGGTATTTTTGGGGTAATTTGGGGTGGCAGTTTGAGGAAATAATTTGGGAAACAACCCTAAAAACCCCCAAAACCGCCCAAAACCACTTAAAAACCACACAGAAATACCCCAAACCCACCCAAAACCCACCCAAAACCAACCCCAAACCACCCGAAAACCACACAAAAATCCCACAACATCCCAAACCCAACCGAAACGACCCTAAAACCACCCAAAACCACCCCAAAACCACCCAAACCCACCTCAAACCGTCCCAAAACCAACCCAAACTGTCCCAAAACCAATCCAAAACCAGCCAAAAACCACCCAAAACCAACCCAAACCACCCCAGACCATCCGAAAACCAACCCAAAACCAACCCAAACCCACCCCAAATCCCCCCAAACCCCCCTAAACCCACTCCAAACCCTCCCAAACTCCCCAAATCCCCCCTAAACCCCCCCAAACCCACCCCAAAACCCCTCAAACCCACCCCAAACCCCCTGAAACCCACCCCAGACCCCCCTAAACCCACCCCAAATCCCCCCAAAAACTACCCCAAATCCCCCCAAAATTCCACCCCAAATCCCCCCAAATCCCACCCCAGACGCCCCCCAGCCCCCCCAAACCCACCCCCCCCCGGCCCGGCAAACACCCGCTGGTTTTTATTTAAAGTAGGAAAAGTTTCGCTTTGTTTTTTTTTCCGGCCGCGGCGAATTAAAAAATCCCCCCCGGGCCCCTCCCCCACCCTCCCCTCCCCCACCCCGACCCCTCCCCCACCCCCCCCTCAATTTTGGGGTCCCCCCCCAATTTTTGGGGTCAAATTTGGGGTCCGATTTTGGGGCAGGGGGGGTTCGGGGCTCAATTTGGGGCCAATTTTTGGGGCTGGGGGCGTGTCTCGAATGGGGGGGGGTTTGGGGGTCCCCGCCCCCCATTTTTGGGGGGTTTCCTCATTTTGGGGGTCCCCCCCATTTTTCTTCTGTTTGGGGGGGTCCCAAACCCCCAATTTTTGGGGGGCTGTAAATTTTAATTTGGGGGGGGGTCCCGAACAGAAATTTTGGGGGGGGGGGGGTCCCATTTTATTTTGGGGGGTCCCCACGTTCCCCCCCTATTTTTGGGGGGGGGGTCAACTCCGAGTCCGCAGTGGGGGGGGTCCCGCACCCCAAATTTTTTTGGGGGGGGGGGCAGCTCCAAGTCCGTGGTTTGGGGGGGGGGTCGCACCCCCCCATTTTTGGGGGGCTCCTCTTCAGCTCCGCAGGTGAGGGGGGGTCCCGCACCCCAAATGTTTTGGGGGGTTCAGCAACAGGTCCAAAGTTCGGGGGGTCCCACACCCCAAATTTTTCTTTTTTTGGGGGGGGGGTTCAGCTCCAGTTCCGTAGTTTTGGGGGGGGTACCACCCCCATTTTTGGGGGGTTCCCCCGAATTTTGGGGGGTCTTCATCTCCAAGTCCAAAGTTCGAAGATTGGGGGGGGTCCTCCTTAATTTTTGGGGGGTTCCCCCATTTTTTGGGGGGTCCCCAATTTTTGGGGGGTTTCCTCCAAGTCCGCAGTTCCGGGGGGGTCCCCTAAATTTATTTTTTGGGGGGGGGGGGGGTTCTCCTAATTTTTTTGGGGGGGGTTCCACCACATTTTTTAGGGTTCCCACATAATTTTTTAGGGTTTTCCCGATCATTTGGGGGAGTTTTCCCATTTTTTGGGGGGATTTCCTTCACATTTTTTTGGGGGGTTCCCCAAAATTTTGGGGTTTTTTTTTTCTCCCTATTTTTTAACGTTTCCTCCACAATTTTGGGGGGATTTTTCTCTACAGTTTTTGGGGATTTTCATCCACATTTTTTAGGGTTCCTCTCATATTTTTGAAGGTTTTCTCCATAATTTTTCCACCCATTTTTCCCACATTTTTTAGGGGTTTTTCTCCATATTTTTTGGGATTTTCCCCTCCTCTTTTCCAGGAGTTTTTTCCCACATTTTTTCCTCATCTTTCCCTTTGTTTTGGGAGCGTTTCCTCCATATTTTTTAGAAATTTCCCACAGGTTTTTAGGATTTTTTTTTCCCATTTTGGGGGATTTTCCCCCACTTTTTTTGGAGTTTCCCTCAAATTTTTTGGGGGATTTTCCTCCACATTTTTTAGGAGTTTTCTCCAATTCTTTACGAGTCTCCCCCCCACATTTTTAAAATAATTTTCTCCCCATTTTTTAGGAGTTTCCCCACATTTTTCAGGAGATTCTCCCACCGATTTTTTAGGAGTTCACCCCACAATATTTTTTAGGGGATTTTCCCCCAATATTTTTTAGGAGTTTCCTCCATTTATTCACATTCTCCCTCCTCCCTTTTTTAGGAATTTCCCCCATTTTTAGGAGTCTCCCTCACATTTTTTAGGGGATTTTCCTCCCCATTTTTAGGGATTTTCCTCCCCATTTTTAGGGATTTTTCCTCCCCATTTTTAGGAGTCTCCCCCACAATTTCTAGGGGATTTTCCTCCCCATTTTTAGAGATTTTCCTCCCCATTTTCAGGATTTTCCTCCCCATTTTTAGGGATTTTTCCTCCCCATTTTTAGGGATTTTTCCTCCCCATTTTTAGGGATTTTCCTCCCCATTTTTAGGGATTTTTCCTCCCCATTTTTAGGAGTCCCCCCCACATTTTTTAGGGTATTTTCCTCCCCATTTTAAGGGATTTTCCTCCCCATTTTTAGGGATTTTTTCCTCCCCATTTTTAGGGATTTTTCCTCCCCATGTTTAGGAGTCTCCCCCATATTTTTTAGGGGATTTTCCTTCCCACTTTTAGGGATTTTTCCTCCCCATTTTTAGGGATTTTTCCTCCCCATTTTCAGGATTTTCCTCCCCATTTTTAGGGATTTTTCCTCCCCATTTTTAAGAGTCTCCCCCACATTTTTTTAGGAGATTTTCCTCCCGATTTTTTCAGGATTTTCCTCCCCATTTTTAGGGATTTTCCTCCCCATTTTTAGGGTATTTTCCTCCCCATTTTAAGGAGTCCCCCCCACATTTTTTAGGAGATTTTCCTCCCTGTTTTTACCAATTCCCCCACATTTTTAACTCTTTCCCCCACATCTTTCCAAGTCTCTCCCCCATTTCTCCACCTCCACCCTCCCAAATCCCCCCGAGTCTCCCCCGCCTTCCTCCTTCTCCTCTCCCCCAAAAATCTGATTTTTTTGTTGTTTTTTTTTGTTTTTTTCCTTTTCCGGGCGGATTTTCGGGGCGAATTCCACACAACACCCCCCAAAAAAAACCCCAAAAATATTCTCAGATCTGCGT